ACACACCACACACACACACACACACACACACACACACACACACACACACACACACACACACCACACACACACACACACACACACACACACACACACACCACACACACACACACACACACACACACACACACACACACACACACACACACACACACACACACACACACACACAGGTTATTTCACAGATTACACTCTGTGATACTGGAGACTGTAAAGCGTGGTAAACTCCGTGTGTGGCATGTTGGCACAGAGAGAAGCGAGGTCTATTGCGGTGGCAGGAGGCCGAATGATAAGATTGTATCTAATAACTACTTTAATGCCGAACATGTTCAAGTAAACTTTTTATCTTATTCATCTTTTGCCGTTTAATGTTTAATAGTATTTACCAGTCTTTCGTTTTGGAGCATTAAAGCTGCATCTAATCTTGATCTCATCTTTTAGGTGCAGCAGAACAAGCTAAAGAAATACAACATTGACCTTAATAACTTTAACATGTTAGCTCACAGTTTCCAAGTTAGACATCCAGCAGAGGAAGGGGAACATATAGTGCATTTTCAGTCAACACCATAGGTCAACACACACAGTCTAAAGTCAACATTATGTGTCCTGAGGTAAATATGATGATTAACCTGCAAGTGAAGCCAGCGCAAAGTGCTTTGAAGCTGCATTTTCTTTGGCCCTACTTCTGAACTGATGTATGAACTTTATTAAACATTTTCATTAAGAGTTTTTTGTCTTGATAGCTATTTTCAAGTATTCTTCATTACCTCAAATTGTTTACAATGTTGTTGTTTGTTGTTAATCTGTTAAGCCCACTGAGACAAACATGTTTTGTGATATTGGACTATATAGATTACCCTTGATTTGATCATGGTGTCCGTTCAGTGAATTGTGTCTCCATTTGGAGTAAAGTACACAATGGAGCAGTGAACGCATCAGACCGTGGCTACCTTGTGATTGAGAGGTTGCTACCTCGTGGTTTTCTGTTTTGGGTGACCTCCATGTCTTTGTCTTAAAGCTTCAATAGTGTTTTCAGTTCATGAAGTTCACTCTTGGGGCAGAAACAAGACTGTTAAATGTGAGTTTTCTTAAGTTAACTGTATTGACTGTTTTTTTTGTAGAAAAAAACAGTTATTTTTGACTGTACAGAGAAAGATGGTAATTTCCCCCATCACTTTTTCAATCACTCCAGGATCTGCTGTTGGCAATGATTCTAAAAATGTAAACATTATTAGCGCTCAAGAAAAAAGGATGCACAAACTTCCATTGTCACATACCACCAGTAAAATATCCACAAAGTAAGAGCACAACAGTGCTGACACAATAAAAAAGTATTATTGTTCAGGTCAATTTCCACCATAATAACTGATATAGTCATTAAAAGCCAGGAAGTACTTAGATATATATACATAACTACAAAATGTGCTTTTGTGGCAAAGTGAAAAATAAAGAACATGCAGTCAGGTCTAAAAGAAGTATTTCAAACTATAAAAAAGTATGAGTCATGTCTGGGGGATATTATAAGGGATTTTCCTAATTCAAATGCTGAGAAAAAACTTTGAGAGAAGGCTTTTTTTAAAGGAGATATGTCATGGCCATTTCCACTGATCATAATTCCATTGTTGAGGTCTACTAGAATAGATTTATATTGTGCATTTTTCCAAACTCACATGGTTTCTCATACAGCATCTCTGTAAACTACGTGTATTCACTGAATTTCACTCTCCGCCTTTAACGGCTCGTTGTAGCTCCAATAGCTCCAGCCCCCACCCTCCCTGTGAGCACAGTGTGCTCTGATTGGTCGGGACGTTGTGAATCGCGCTGAGCTCCGTGGAGGTGTTGTTTCCTTGTTTAGGATACATAGCGAAACACAGCCAAATTCATCCTGAGCACACACAAAGTCACAGCCGAAGTAAAAACAATAAGTGTGGCTTGATATTGAGTAAGAAAAAGGTTGATAAACGCTGTGAGAATGGGTCTGCAGAGAGAATTTCGCCGCGATCCCAACTGTCTGTTATCAGCCTGCAGCCAGGGAGGAGAAATCAGCTGAGCTGCCTGCTCCCTGCACACAGACGTGTGTGTGAGGAAGTCCGTGGATTGGTCAATTTGGACCAATCAGCGGGGGCTTAACGTAACGGCTCAGTCCATTTCGTTCCGGGTACGGGATTACATCATCCCGTACCCGGAAGAATCAAATGGACAATGACGTATCTCCAACGAGGAGTTTTGGGGAGGTATTTTCTGTGTTAGAGTTTTACTCGCTATAGGGTGTACTTTGAGGGTTTTGACTCTGCAGACCGTTTACATGCATAAAAACCTTCATAACACACAAGGGCACGGGTAATAACCAGAAAAGCATGACATGTCTCCTTTAATACTTTGCTCAGCAAAAAGCACAATGAAAATGCTAGTCCGCCCACATTTAAACACCAGAGCTTAACAGATGCTTCAAATCCTGTGCTTTGTTCGGCCCAAAAACCAGAGAAATTATCCCGGTATGAGGTAAGACTAACGACAGATAGAAAAGAAATCACTAGATCCTGCTTTTTGTGCAGCTAACCACTGACTACCATTCATAATAATGATGACCTTGGCTATAAGGTACTTTAATCAACTCTGACACTATCTAACTTTACGGTAAAAAATGTAAAAGTGCTAATTGAAAGACGTTGATGTGAGTGTGAGAAGCAGCTCTGTGTGTTGCAGCTCTGTGCGGAGGGTGTGTTTTGCTTGTTTGTTCGTGTGTTTACCATTTGCTCTGGAATGTCCTGAGCTGTTGTTTAGAAAACATCAAAGACTCGGTGCAAACACACACTGTATATCCTCCCACACGCTAGCTACATGACATTAAGGTTTCCAAACTCAGTTGGGCATCAAAATCCAAGACCTTTCGACGATTTTAAAAGTGAAAGGCAATTTGACACTGTGGGATCCCCTCATTCAGAATTATAGCAACTGTCTCCATGTTATAGGCCCTTATGCTGCGTTCATGCACCAGCAGGAAAGTCCCACATTCTTAGGTTTCATATTTGTTGGCTGAACACATCATTGAGGTCCAGCTGCATGAGAAAATTCAACAGTCTCACATAACTGTGCAAATGTATTCAAGAAAACACCCTGCCCCTGTGGACAATATCACATTACAAGCTGTGTGCATGTGTCCTGCTGTGTGACTGTATTTTTGGGACTTTCTAAATGCTATATGTGCCTTTTAAATGTCAGATAATTCCCATCGGTAACTTTTGTAATCTTTCCTGCACATAACAGAAGCAGTCTTTCCCCGTTTTTTACAAACTCTTATAATATTTGTCTGGGTTTTTGCAGCCCTCGCCATTTTAGGTTAAGTGGTTTAAATAAGCGTATTTTGGGCACTTTGGTCTGCTAAAATAAGTATTTGTTTATTGTTATTTTCATGAACTTGGTTTCTCGTTGTATTACTTTGCCTAAATAACATGCAACATTAGAGGCAAGCAGCTTCATTACAGGCCAGAGGCCTGTACTACGAAGCTGGTTCAACTTAACCTGGATATGTTGGAGTTAGCCGGTTGGCCTAAGCCAAAACATACGCGCTGGCGCTAAGCTGTACTACGACGCCGGTTATCAAGTGGATCGCTCAAGCCAGCCGTGTCCTATCTAGTTAGGTGCGCGTTCACATGAAAGGGGTGGTATTTGGAGCATTCGACCAATCTCAAACACGGACAAGCGTAGCGTACTGACAGCGCAGCGTCATACTTCCTGAATGAAAAGTGAACTTTAATATTAGTCAAATATGAAGAAGTTAAACTTTAAACATCCATGTCTTAAACACTTTATCCAGGATAAAAGCCACATAGCTGCACCTGCAAGGTGAATACAGCTGGTAAAAGAAAAAGTGTTTGAATGCGTACATTAACAGGTTTATGAAATCACTGCCCCGTCCAAGACACGAGTGGATCTGACTTTAATTAGGAGAATTTGACTCGAGTGTTTCGTCAACTTAATGTGTTGCTTAAAATAATACTTCTGCATACAGTATGTGACACTGTGAGTGTTGCACGGCCAGATACGGCTCAAGAAGCTGACTCAAATAAGGAAATATATGATACATTATGATGTGATATGATATGAATGATAATGGGACACATCTACGTCTGCACTCACAGTGCCGCGGACTGTACTTAATGTTACTCTGATCCGGTTACTTATGTCGTGGCAGATATTTAAGTAAGCTTTCTTAACGCTAATGTTATAATAGTCAGATTGCTCTGAAGATGGGAGGGGATATTCTATTAATTTTCACGTTCACACAGTCAGTTGATTTTTGCCGGCCGTCTTTCCTGCAACGGCAGTTTTTCTGTATTTCCTCTATCCTGTAATATGAATTGATCGCTTTAAACTCCGCACACGGAGCTCTGATTGGTCAGCAGGCAGTGCTTTCACTGAGTTGATCTCTTAGCCTGCCACCTAACCTGCTCCGGAGCAGGTTTGCCGCTCAGCATAAGTTACCATGGAAATCTAGCCTGCTAAAAAGAGAACCAGCGTCGTAGGACCGGAAAGCCCGAGATTTCCCTGAATTTAGCCGGCTAAGCGAAAATCCAGCTTCGTAGTACAGGCCTCTGATGATCAGAGCTGTCAGCAAAGCACAAAGCTATTTAAAGGTGTTATTTGGTTTGTTTGACAAAAACACAAACGCAATGAAAGACAACTTTTGTACCACTAAGTGCAAAAGAGTATATTCAGTCTTAAAAAAAGTGTTTTATTACAGGAGATCAGGAGACTCCCTTAATGCAGGGAACCACCTGGAAAACCCACAGTGAATTGTAATCGTAACCACAACGACATCTGTGTAAAATACTAAAGACATGATGGACGACGCTTTAAGAAGCCTGAGCAGTTTCAGCTAAAGTAGTGTAATTCAACTAAGCGGACGTACTATGAGTACAAATAAAAAGGAAGTCGTCCTGATCAGCACCAGAACTGGCTGACTGGGAAATGTAGACACATAATTACTCACAGTAACATCAAGTGTGCAGGTACTTTTTTTATTTGATAGCCCCTGTCTTCTCGTCGACAGAACACAGTGGCCTGAGCTCACAGGCAACATCAATACAACTACAGGCGAATCCTTCCATCGTGTACTGACCGGTCCTTTCTGTCCTTGTTTGGCGGTGGAGAAAATGTGTTTTCTGTTGGAACATTGAGGAAGAGGCACCCATCTAAAAAAAGTCACCGTACTGGATTTGTTGAACCAAAGAAATGGCACATGTGCTGCATCATTACTGCAGCCTAATGTCTTCATGCTGTAAAAAACTAACTAAATAGCAACATTATTTTACAAAACTCTACTAATTAGTGACTGAGAAGGAAACAAAGTCTGTGTTCTCCAAACAGTTCATCTCAAGAGGCAGGACAGCCGTTACGTTGTTCCCCTTCCTGCACACACTCACAGGTGTTACAGATATCAGATACTACCTGTGCTCGCAGTGGGAACGTAAGGTTACGAAGAGCACCTGTGAGAGGTAGCTAGCCAGGTGACTAGCACTGAGCATCGGGATCAAAATGCTTGCAGAGGGAATGCTCCGGAGGCAGAGCCCAGCAGGACGGGAACCAGTCGCAGTAGATCTCTGAGAGGGATCCTCAACTGGCTGCTACGAGACAACAAATCTCCCAGAGAGCTGCAGCCTGCAGAGAGAGGAGAGAGGAGAGAGGAGAGAGGAGAGAGGAGAGAGGAGAGAGGAGAGAGGAGAGAGCATCAGAAGAGTCCTGCGTGAGGATGTTGGGAATGGGATTGGCTTAAGGAGACACCAGACAGCTATGTGTGGTCATAAACAGTTAGTTATTATTGATTTTGAAATGATTGTATGCTCTCTTTGCCAAGTTATATCCTCCAGCAGAAAAAAACTAAAACATTACACGTTCAATTCAATCATGTAACTTGATAAAAGTAAGTTAATTCATTTGTAAAAGTACTTCTAATTTATAAATACTCTGTTAGTCTGAGATGGAGCTAGTTTTAAACTATTTGTATATCAAGTATACTGTAGGGTAGTGACGTGACAACCACAAGTTCAAACTTAGGGGAATCATTAGATCATTAATGCCAGAAGAAAGTTGACAAAGGTTTAGAACAAAGCACTTTGCCTAATCTTTGCCTTATTTCATATTTAACAGTTTATAATGACACAATCTGAGAAGTTTAAACAGCAAATGCTCGTTTGTTACTGTATAAAGTAACTTGTTGTTGTTGTTAGTTGGATGGTGGGAGATTCTAGCGAGAGATATGGATACAAAAAAGGTGTTTTAAACAGCAAGCCAAGCACACAGCTGATGCTGACAGCCCCGCTCCTGCCGCTCGCTTGCAGCAGAACACGCTCGAACATTTGCCGGGGAGACGCCTGGACAACAACAGCGATAGCTAAATGGGTGGCTACAGCTTAACATTGTGGAGGACGAGGGGCTGCGTTCAATAATTCGGATCACATCCAACGTGTTGACTGCACATCACAGCGAATTATTTTGACCCACAGTGGGAACTTCAGTCTCATGCTTTGACTGAAGATGAAGACAGAGGAGCGGCATTTCGCCGACAACTGTAAACAGGCTTGTCTGTTAGAGCAACTGGCTCAGTACAAAGAAGTACACCGGGTTGGGAGAGAGTGAAGAGAGAGAGAGAGAGAGAGAGAGAGAGAGAGAGAGAGAGAGAGAGAGAGAGAGAGAGAGAGAGAGAGAGAGAGAGAGAGAGAGAGAGAGAGCGAGAGAGAGAGAGAGAGAGAGAGAGAGAGAGAGAGAGAGAGAGAGAGAGGCTCCAGGTTGTTTGTGTTGAGAATATTCAGGAGAATATTTGTCATTGTTCCAATGATAATAAACAAACATTTGCATAAAGCATATTTGTCCACTCATATGTTGATAAGAGTATTAAAAACTTGAAAAATATTCCTCTAAGGTACATTTAGAACAGATAAAAAATGTGCGATTAATTTGCGATTAATCGCAATTAACTATGGACAATCATGCGATTAATCGCGATTAAATATTTGAATCGACTGACAGCCCTAGTATAAAGCAGCATAAAGTAGATATACTTATGTAAAGTACAAGTACCATCAAATTGTAGTTAAGTAAAACTCTTAACAACACTGTGGAACTCTCTCCCTAGAGTCCTCCGCTCTGCAGTCTCTGTAGAAGCTTTTAGAAAACTACTGAAGACCCATCTTTTTGCATTGGCTTTTGTTTCTACTTGAAATGTGTGTGATGTGTTCTGTTCTTATGTTTTTTCCTTTCAGGACTCCACGTGGTCTGTGTTTTGTTTTTATGTTGACCTTACATTTCTGCCTCATGTGGTTATTGTATTCATATTTCTGTGGTCTTCATTTTTACTTTTGTTCTTACTTGTGAAGCACTTTGTGAATTCCATTTCTGTTAAAGGTGCTATAATAAATAAACGTATTATTATTATTATTATTATTATTATTATTAAATGAAATACCTTTAGTTACTTTCACCACTGAGTAAGCTAACAGCAGCAGGAGTTGAAGAGAGCTTTTATTCCTGCTGTGTGAACCGGACGTGTTAACATGCAAATACACTCAGGTGAGGTTCAGTGAGAGGAGCGAGTGTGTCTTACTCTCCAGCTGAGTGTGTGTGTTCCTGAGGCAGGGGATGGAGCGGTACACCAGGAAGCAGGCCAGCGCCATGGACTGTCCGTTCTGAGGGAGGGCCTCGCCCCTCATGTAGGACCTCAACACTGAGCTGTTCTCTAGGAAACACAAACAAGGCACACAATGTTTTATCAGGTGTACCTACAGGTGGGATTTAAATAAATGAATGTCTTTTTTAAACAGGATACAAATAAAAGACACATTTAAAAGCAGGTTTCTGATTGAACGATAGAAGAAGAAAAAGGGTGTGAGATGTAAAAACATTTGATCAAACACGTTTGCTCACATCACTGTTTGCCAGTAAATACAATCTGCGCACAGGGAGGAAACTAGATGTATAATGCCTCATCTGGATTCATTTGGATTTTAAATAGAAACCAAAATAAAGACAGTAAATAATAAACAATTTTTTAAACACAAACTGGAACACTTGCAGCATTTTAAAACCATATAAACTAAAACTCCTCTAAACTGCATCCCTTAGGATAGTTCTCTGTCTGTAATACACTTCTAGTATTTTATCGAAAAAGAAAGACCTCTGAGAAAGACAAAGTAGAAACAAAAAATCCTACAAAACAGGATTGTATCAGAAAACCTATTTCATCATGTGTGACTTCCAGTCAAAAGCAACATTCCTGAAAGTTGATGTCAAGCTAGTTGCTAGTTTGTTTTTCCTTTGAAATGTCTGCCAAAGGCTTCATGAAACATGGAAGTAAAGGCATGTTTGAACTGTTACCATGACAGCAGTCACCTGTTTCCCACGCCTCTCAGTGTGCATTTATTATGTAAGTGTGTGGGTGTCTGTGTGTGTGTGTGCATGTGTTTGTGTGTGTGTGTGTGCGCAAGTAAGGTATGGAATGTGTGTTTGTTGGAGTGATACACAGTCTGTCAGTCATTATCGTGCTACACCCTTTACAGGAAATCCAGCTGAAACACATAGTCAACGATTCGTTTTCTCCACTCCCAATATGTGAATTCCTTTAGTTAATGTTGGCACATATGAAGAAATGACTCCTCTCGCTCGTCTGATCAACATTTATATGAGCTGTGAACTGTTTGAGGAAGGCTTTCTAACTTGTTGTGACTCTTTCAGCTCACGCAGGTTTCCTGTAGAGGGACTTTAACTCCCTGACCTGCCTGACCTTTAAAGGTCCCATGTCATGCTTTTCTGGTTATTACCCGTCCCCTTGTGTGTTATGTAGCTTTTTATGCATGTAAACGGTCTGCAGAGTCACAAACCCTCAAAGTACACCCTGTAGCAAATAAAACTCTAACACAGAAAAGACCTGTCTATGCTGCCCCAGAACGCCTCGTTGGACATTTCTCTTTTGCCATTGTTTACTTCTTGGGTATAGTGACGTATTTCAGGTACAGTGACGTATTTCGGGTATAGTGACGTATTTCGGGTATAGTGACGTATTTCGGGTATAGTGACGTATTTCGGGTATAGTGACGTAACGTAACGCAACGTATGCGGAGCTGTTACGTTTGGACCAATCCGCGGACTTCCTCACACACACACACTCGGCGGGACGTTGCGAGGCTCGCTGCTGCGAGGAGCGGGACACTGTGAGCTGGCTCACTGGTGTGGGGTCGGCGAGACAGCGAGACACCGCGGAACTCAGCCTGGGCACACACACAAACTCCCAGCCAGGCTGCGGGTGTGTGTGTTTCGGGCTGGGTTTCGCTGTGTCTCGCTGTCTCGCAGACGGCCACTGGGCTCACAGGGAGCCGTTTAGGACAGAGAGTGAATACACATACTATACAGAGAGGCTGTATGAGAAACCAATGTGAGTTTGGAAAATTGCAAAATATACATTTATTTTAGTAGACCTCAACAATGGAATTATGATCAGTAGAAATGGCCATGACATGGGACCTTTAAGAATAAGGAGTATATTACCCGTTTAAAAGCTTTAATGGGTTTTAAAGAGGCAATATTATGGTCATTTTCAGTACATATTTGGTATTTTGTGCCTCTTCTGTGACGTTTTTGATATGCCTTCCGATGCACACACACACACTCCTCCTCACCTTTGAGCCAGCTGTCCAGTGCCACATCCACCATGTTCTTCATGACGGGCAGGAACTCGGAGGTGAGCAGCGCGTCGTGGCGGTTGTTGGGCCCCCGCTGCACTCGGCTGTCCCACAGCTCCACCACCAGACGCATCTGCCACAGGGGGAAGGTCTGGAGCAGATCCCTCCGACGCAGAGCACCCACCGCCTGGGAGACAGCAGCGAGCACAGGGTCACGTACCGGCACATGGGAAGAAGGGAAATGGTTTTGGACAGTTTAGCATTTAAAGTGAGTCATGAGGTTGAGATAGAGGAGATGATATGTGTTAAACAGGGTATATGCAGGAATCCTGAAGTCAAATTGAATACCTTTTAAGACCTTTTTTAAGACCCTTTCCATACATTTTAAGACCTCATCGCCACTTCGAGTTCTAACCGGTTACATTGGCGACACACTATACCTCACATTGACTATATACAGTATTGATTGTCCTTCCTCCTTATCTTCCAACCATTTGGACGCAAACTTGCATTTCCCCATAACGATGTTGTTTAACAACCGGCGTAAACGGACCTTCGCGCGCTATCAAGCAGTGAGCGTGCGATGTCCTGTTCAGATGACGTCACATCCAACGGGATGCCATAAATAAACTACACAGAATCACACTACACACCTACGCAATGATTACATTCAGGCAGACTGTAGAATACAACCTCTTTGGACAATTGATATACTTATTGAAAACAAGCTACAAAATGTAATACCTTGGGAAATGCCGTTTAATACTTTTTAATAGCCTTAATTTTCGCTAAATTGATTTATCAACTTTTAATACTTTTTAAGACCCCCTGGACTCATCACATGTATCTCAACCTGATCAGAATTGTGTTTCAGTTGTGTAGGTCTGCAAAAAAAGACATTTACAAACATTTCCTCAGAAGCATAACTCCAGCTTTAGTAATGTTACAGCTGCATTTTTCTCTTGGTGAAAGTTTTGTATAAGTTCTGGTGTAGAGGTAGGCAACAATGAAACACAATAGCAACCAGCAAACAGCTTTTCATGCTTGACACTTCACAAAATCTTTAATCCCTAAATTGCAAGCGTTTTACATTTTGTTCTATCATTCTCTAAAGCATAGATGATTTTCAAATGATTTCAGTTCATTTCACTGCGGTTTGTAAATCCATTTTTGAAGACCAACAACCAAAAAACGTGAACTCCCCCTTTAACTACCAATTGTTCGTTAAGTTATTGTTGCTTGGTAAAGTGATGTACTAAATGGCGAGATTGTTTACAGTAAAGTTTACATATTTGTGTGTGTGTGTGTGTGTGTGTGTGTGTGTGTGTGTGTGTGTGTGTGTGTGTGTGTGTGTGTGTGTGTGTGTGTGTGTGTGGTGTGTGTGTGTGTGTGTGTGTGTGTGTGTGTGTGTGTGTGTGTGTGTGTGTGTGTGTGTGTGTGTGTGTGTGTGTGTGTGTGTGTGTGTGTGTGTGTGTGTGTGTGTGTGTGTGTGTGTGTGTGTGTGTTACCTGCTCAATAGCAATATAGGTGGGCAGCATCTCTGGACATTCCTGCGTCACACATTCATACAGCATCGCCGAGAACAACACGAGAGTATCATCTCTCTGTAAACAAATCACACACAGGTTAGGTGACGGTTCAAAACGTATAAAAGTTAAAAAACAACAGTTCCTAGAATCTCATATGCCAAGCTCATTTATATTTGATTTGAACCTATAGTTTATAGTTATTTTAAGGGATATTGTAGCTTGTTTTGGTGTGTAACAGTTTGAATGTTGGATGATGGTTTATGTTGGAAATAGTTTGCACATATGCTGTTAATCAGATAACTAACCTCATACGGAATTTGCGAAAAAGCAGCCAAAATATAACTTTTTCCTCATTTGTGAGCAAGAGTTCAAATTTCAGGAAATGTTTGGCATTTAAGTTCAAGAACTACTGACGTACCAGAAAGTGCATTTCATCTTAAGTTTTTTTCTAAACAGGCTTCCTATATACAAAATGAATGACTTCAAATTACCTTAAAGGTTTTGTGAATGAAACTGAAGGACTGAAGATTGCCATGTCATTACATTCAATTACCGAATGTTACGCTACAGAATGAGTAATTTTATTCCATTTCAATCTTCAATCTGAAACCAGTGAACTATGTGCAATCCAACTAATTAACCTTAAGCCGCCTCTTAACTCGGAAAATAAGAGTCAAGTGATTAATAAGCAAAGTGAGCATTTGTTCATGACAATCTATACAATCTATTTCAATTCTTTAGGTACTCAGTGAATCACATGTGCTATATATAGTCATTTGTGTTTAAGGCTGAAACATCTGCCCTCTTGCAGCATAAAAACCGTTGGTGCCTGCTCTCAGTGTTCTACATTTAAGTTCATTTCATTTTAAGTTTCCAAGCATTTTAAGGCAGCTGCATATCAGAGATTAATATTTTTTTTTGGGCCATTTAAGTCATGTTTAAATGTCTTTGTCTGGATATTTTCAAGATCTCCATCAACACCACAGACACCGGTGAAACTAGTTAGCTAATCCAGAGACAATTGTAATCTCTTACTTCATTACCTTTTACAAAACAATATGGAAACTCAAATAGCAGATGGCATGCAATCAAGGAGCAACAGTGGCCTCAGCTACATCTAAGGCGCTTTCACACCGGAGTACTTTTCCCCGTACTTTTCCCGTTTAGTTCCGATAGTTCCTGGGATTTTGCGTTCATAGCAAAACTTAGTTCATGAGAACTGTTACCCCCTTTTTAAGGCCTCCTAGAGAGGTGGTACTTTCCTGGGGAGAAAAAAGTTCCAATTTCTGATTGGCTGGGCGAATTGCAAACCGCGGCCCGTAAAACTCTGAAAAGTTTTGTGAAGCCGCCATTGTATTTGCTGGCATTAGCATTATTAGCATTAGCATTAACCCCGCGCACCAACGGAGAGAGAATAACTTATGGCTACACAAAAAAGAACATGGGAGTGGTGGAGATGAGGAGGTGTCGGCGTTCTGGCGATTTACTCGGAAGGCTTCAGTAGAAGCTGCTGGGAGTCCCAGCAGCTTCTACTGAAGCCAGTCCCCAACTCCATGGGGGAACTCCATGGGGGAACTAAGTGCTGGGAACTAAGTACGGCAAAGTACTTGGTGTGAAAGCGGCTATTTGTGTGTAAAACTCACTTGTTTTATTTCTTCAGATGTTTTACAGAAGAACTCTGCAAATGAGACCAAGGCCGGCTCTGAGGTGAACGTAGAGATGGCTTCAGGCTGCAGAAACACACAAGAACATTTCACAATTATTTTATTGAGACAGCACATAAATAAAGTATAGAGAAGCAAGGAAGGTTACAAAAGAGGAAGGTTACAAAAGAGGAAGGTAAGGAAGAAAAGGGTGCCACAAACGTTGGTCAAGACACTGAAGAATGAATGCATAAAAACAAAAAGAGAAAGGGGAGAAGGACACAGACAAAGAGAGGAATAAAACAGTAATGTTTTTGTTGGTATCCCTGCGGACCTGCAGGTGTATTGACAGCTCACACTGAGGCCATCAGGAAACCAGTAATAGTCTGTCAAACACACAGCGGCCTGCGTTACCTGTAGTGACAACCTGCCAACACCGGACACATCCAGCCACTGGAGAGGGGGTCAGTTCAGTTCAACTCACGGCTATTTATAGCTGGTTATTAGTGCAGATTTAGGTTTTTAAATGTCTCTCAAACCCGGGTATATTAAATGCAAAACTAAGGGCATTTCAGACCTGTAGTTTGTTTGACATCAACGACATGTGAAAAACCAATTCACATTGTTAGTGATAAACTGTTCGATGTAATCTATTCTGAAAAAAATTATAAAGAAAAAAAGGAGGGGTCTGAGCTCATGCGGGACCCGGCAGCTACTGTCTAAACTAAATACTGCAGTGATGAAACGCCATATCATGGATTATCAAGGATCATTTCTGAAACAGTATGGAGCTCAAAGGCTTTCTCTCTTGCCGGTTATACCACAAGGTGAGGTCCTTTTTATTTCCTGCTTCTTCACACACATGCTCTCCAGTACAGGTTAGCTCTGAGTGTTAGCGATGCTAATGTAAACACCGACCATATTACGTCCAAAACAGTCGGGCATTGTTTCTGATAGCAACGTTTCTGATAGTGCCGTGGGTCCACATTTCAGATATTACGTCATATCGAACGCAAATCTGGATCAGCTCCGTTGTAGCCCCGTTTTTAGAGATTTGGGTACGGAGGAAAAGAGAGAGGGTTTTATTTTCTGACGCTGCGTGAGTTCCCCGACACACCGGGGACACATATTTATGTATAAAAGACATCAAACAGTGCATTTTGCATGATAGGTCCCCTTTAAATAAATGTACTTTAATTGGAAATTAATCATGTGTGGTCTCCTTCTTTTGTCCGTCCTTGAGCCACGGCGTGACAACATCTGGACGTATTAAATATAAAGCCCCAACTAAGACACAATAATAGACACACAGAGGATAATACAATATGTATCCCAGTTATATCCTCATAGCCCTACAAAACTAAATGGACTCTACTGATATTGGTAATGTGATATCCATGTGTGTACCTTGAAGGCTCTGACTCCAGAGTTGCGGTGGTTGACGGTTGAAGCCAGCAGGCTCTTCCAGCCCTGAGGGTCGTCCTTGTAGGGCAGCTGTCCGGCCCGCAGCTTCACGTACAACACGCCATCTCTGCACAGGATGGACCTGAGGGACAGGTAAGTATTCAGAGAGAGGTTGACCTTTACATCTGACGACTCATTGGTCAATACATGAGATCAAAGCTTCCCCCGGGATTCTGCTAATCAATCTGTGGCACAAAAAGACGAAGTGGGTCCCTAGACATTTTCACACACTGTCTATTTAGTGGTTTTTATTTGACTGATTAGATGCAAGCACTGTTGAATCCCTCTATACTTACTTTAGATGCTGTGTTTCTTTGCTGAGGTCTACGGAAAGTTCCCAGTATCTCGGCCCCTTTACCTTTACCTGCAATAAAGAAATTAACACACACATCAGAAAATAAAATAATTAATAAATGGGGGTATGCCTTGTTCAAACCATTTGAGTAATTAAAGGTGGGGTAGGTAATTTTGGAGAAACCAGCTCGAGTGCACTAGAATTTGAAAATACACAGCCGGAAAAAATCTGCCACTTCCTTATAGAGCCCCTCCTCCAACAGACACGTACGCGCACATGAACAATGAGGGCACGAGATAAGTTTGTGCACAGATGGAAGGCTGACAGGCAGGTAGGCCATCCAGTTATTTTAGCCGGGCCGGCTAAAATGATTGGTCGTGCTTTTTACAGTATTACGGCTTCCACAGATGATATTTTTTAATGGATTTTTTGTCAAAGCACTTCAGATATTCATTGCTATCGGGATGTTAAGAGCATTCCATGGAATATAACAAAAAGTGTATCTCGAGCCGGTTTCTCAAACTTACCTACCCCACCTTTAAGTGAATGATGCCGTTTATATTCTTTTCGCGTTTATCAATATCCTTCATTCATATCAAATAGCTAGTCCTCAGTAGAGAGGGAGCTACACTGAACAGTGTCGTTTCTACTAGACTCTGTCGTCCAGTTGTTCTCAGGATTTACCTTTTTGAGGAGGTGCAGCTCAGGAAGCATGGTGGGAGCCATCAGTTCTACAGTCGTCTCGTCGTACCACTTTGTCTTCTAAAACAATAGAAAATGGCGTCATTGCAACATACAGAAGAATGCATAGTTTAACTCTCTCACAGCTTAAAGTGAAAGGTCTGCATCAAAGCTGGACTGATACCCAGTGTGGCTTCATGTGGCATTGCCTTACTCTATATAGCCATGCTGTGAGTATTGCTTTTGTACTTTATCAATGAAAGAGAAAAAGAGACCATTTGGTTTAAGAAGCAGTAAAACAAAATAGCTGGAGGCCAAAAACAGACTCTAGATAAACAGAACTTCATTGATGTAAAGATGTTTTCATTTAATTTAATTCAGATTGAGTCGAACTGTCTTTAATGTCCATGCTGGACTTGGTCCTGCTGTTACACAGTAGATAAAAACAAAGCAGTGACGTAAGCACTGATGATGTTCACAGTGTCACACTGAGCTTTCAGATATGAATTAAATTGAGGTGAGGCATGCTCTCAGAGGTGGTCCTGACTTCCTCAGTTTGAGTTTATCCTGGGATGTCTGTTGCATATTTATCTCCCCCTCATTTCCTGTCATCTCTGTATCTGTCACAAAAATGGCATAAACCTTGGAGGTGCTGCTAATTCACTTTCCTCTCAAATATGTTTCCACATGATCTGGGATTTATATTTGCAAACTTACAGTCACAGGCTTCCAATAAAACTCCACCTACAATCCCATTGGTTTAGAAACAGTTCGACTATTTTCGGTGTTTCCCATTTTCTCTAAAGGTCAGACATTTTACTTTAAGCACACAGCCACATGGATGATTGTTTCTCAAACATTAAATAAGTATTGTGAAAAACTTGAAGGTATGGCTTAAAATCAAAATACTTCACAACTACAAAACTTCAAGCAGCAGAACCTCACAGTGCTTCTAAAACAAAACAGATTGCTCAAATAGCCTCATCTAAAAAAAGCAGCATGAAAACCTCACTGAGGGAAATGTAGAAATGACTGTTCCTGTAATTCAGGAGCTATTTGCTGCATCTGTTAAGACACAGCTACAGTATTGCAGCAATTGCTGTTGAAAGTGCATGTTTTAAAAGCTGATGCACTTCACATAGACTGGAGGATAATAATAGCAGGGTAAAAATATCGAACACATGGAAAAACATCTAGTTCTTATTTAACCGTCTAATTTTCTGGTCGAACATTATAACGGGTTGTTGTTTTTATGAAAGAGTCTCCAAATATGGAAAGAGTGGTGACAGAGCGCACGTGATCTGAATGAATGGACACACTGTGCCACTTTGGAGACGCAAAACCGGAAGTCTGAACCACATTGGCTCCAACTGGCACAAAGAGGCACCATGACTCCTCGTTCGTTTCACTGGAGGGCTTTTGGATTTTAATAGATGCCGTTTTTCAGAGCAATCCCAAACAGTTTTAAAGACTTTTCCTGACCACTAATCTTACTGCAAACTACTGTGCATGTTTCTGAAAACACATTGCTTGTTAAGAGAGTTCGTTACAGAGCTTCCTTAGATTGTAATCTGTTAGCAGCGCACATCAAATGCATTTGTTATCTAAACGGCAGCAAGTGAACTATATTCAAGTTATGATCGTTTTAGTGTTAACAACTAACTCTGTAGTCATGTATTTATTTTGAGCAATGTATTAACCATTTCATTGTTGTTGTATTTCATATTTAATTGTATTTGTAAGTAATGATGTGGAGATTCCCCATGTACATTTGTGTGTATTTACAACCCCAGAAAAGACAAGGCAATTGGGAATCACATAAAACACGTAAATCTACTGCTTTACCCCACAAGTAAAGCATACATGTGGATGAGATGCCACAGTGTAGTTGTGCCAACTGTGTTAGTTTATTTAAGGTAACAAGTAAAGAGCTGGTCTTTGCTTGAACAAAATGCACTAATTACACATGCAGTTTGAGGAAGCTGTCCAGCTAAATAGAAAAACAGAAAAATATTTTTGGCTTGAAGGCGGGAGGGTTTTTTTTCTCTCGACTACATTACAGTTTGTGTTAGCATGTAAGCGTGTGTGTGGTTGCATGTAAAAAAGCTTGTCAAGAGGAAATGCAGATATTGACAACATGTGTGACAGAGATAGAGAGCAATATAGAGAGAGGAAGGAAGTGCATGCTATCATACAGAGAAAAAAAATATGTTACTTGAGTGTTTGGTCATGTTTCACTACACATATTAAACAAGGGAACAAAGGCTTCAGTCAAGCATGTTAGCTTGTAGATTTTGGATGATGAAGGTACTGCCATGGTGAAGCAATGCTAAAAAAGATTGCTCTATACTTAAGCACTGTAAGGACAAGAGGGAATGACCAGTTCAGAGAACATTACACACAGAAAGAAGAAACATGTTAAAAATAATCATGGTGTGATTTTTGAATAGGTTTTGTACCAAACAAGGATTTTTTATTAAGTCTGTAGATTAACATTTGTAGGCCAGGACTTCTCTGCAGTACCACAATACCTTTTCCAGATTTATTTTCACATATTTTGGAAATTGCACTAGTCCATATTGCAATTATGATAACATTTAAATTAACTGTGCAGCCTTATTTGTGTGTAGCTGTCAGTGTGACCTGATGTACGTAAGGTTCAAGGTTCAAGGTTAGTTTATTTGTATAGAACATTTTAAGACACAGAGGCAATTCAAAGTGCTTCACATAGGCATTTCAAACATAATAATTCATAAAAGCGATTAAAATATTGGCTGCAGCTAAAAGTGCAATGATAAGGCACGGTTAAAGGATCTCAGGATAGGCTGCAACGTACCTTGTAGGTGACCTCTAAGAGGGCGTAGCAGGGCTTCAGAGAGTCCACGTCCACGGGCACCAGCAGCCGCGGCTCTGCAGCCAGAACAGCCAGGTGCCGCAGGGCCTGCAGGTGGTAGCTGCAGGCAGACACACAACATCAACACTCTGCTAATGACTACAGTAGTAGTTTAGTATCTTTCAATGAAAAAACTAAGAGAGACACAGTATCACATTCAAAGAATAACAGACATGTCATTATCTTTGCATGATGGAAGCTTCTCTATTACAAAAACAACTGAAAAACCTGCCGAGTTTATAAATAATGGTATCACATATTTTAGTTTTTTTTAAAAGGTTTTAGGAATAACCTTTTGGGGAAAAACTTGATCGACTGACTGAAGTATTTTGTTAATATCTTAAATGTCTTTCACCCAGCATCAATCATAAACAAAACGTTCCTTTATAAAGCAACTACATACACAATTTGACCGAGGTCTTTTTATTACAGTGTGTGTGTGTGTGTGTGTGTGTGTGTGTGTGTGTGTGTGTGTGTGTGTGTGTGTGTGTGTGTGTGAGTGTTCTCACCGGTTGTCGGTGCTGTGAGCAGGAAAGTGTGGGTACAGGGCGCAGAGCAGAGCGGCGATGGCTGAATTGGAGGTGCTCAGGGTGTACCTAACAGACAGAATCAAACACAAACACTGAAAATACACACCGGACACACACATATATATTACAAAATTACAGTGTTCATTATACAAATAAATGCAGGACTGTCTTTTTCACCCTCAACAGCAAGTTTTAAAAGAGTCCATATAAATCCCCTTCTTTATGAACGCTCTGCTCTGTTAGTAAAACCAATTGTGTGCTATAATCTAGTTCACGTCATCACATGCCACACCAGAGCCTCTTAAACATTATAATTGGCAGTGTGTACTTTGACTAATGGAGTCATTATAATAAAGTTGGATCAGACAATGAAGAGATTTTGTACATGCAAGGTTAATTGTGAGGGTACTTTCATTTTAAACAGTCAACTCAGGTAAAGCCTGTTGCTCTTAAAATAAATGGCTACTTGGAGAATCTTTAGCATGGTTAAGAGCTTTAATCACACTGAATATGACATAACTATTTTTCCCCAGAAGAGAACGGTGTGTTATTTATGGTGAAAATAAACAGGCATGTTTTTCAGACTTGGGAATTCAAAACAGTTACTAACAAACAAACAAACTTCAACTGACAGTGTTGATGGTTAAAAAAGTCAAACAAATAGCAGATGCTGCTGCCATAACTGCACATCGGGGCTGTGTGGTATCCAGTAGCTGGGGACATGTTGAGTTATAAGTGCCTGCTGTGGAATTATCTTCTCGTATCTGTATCAAATTAACCTTTCATAAATTTGGTTCAAAACGAAAAATGGTGTTCAGTGAGAAGATTTTAAAGCAAATCTTTTGGCAGTCACTTCATGAATACAAGAAATAAGCTAATATAGACCCACAGTACTCTGTAGCTAGTATCAGTCTGAATGCCATGTATGGAATGGAAAAAAAAGTAACTTTCAGTTCAGTTTCCGTCTTAAAAAAGCCCAAATAAATGGGAAAAGGGAAGGGAAACTTACTGAGCAGACAGAAAGAGAGACGCAGTGAAGTAGGGGAGGAAGGGGGAGGAATAATTAAAAGACACAAAAAAAGAACTAAACAGAAATAAAACTACATGACTCATTAGCATAGGAAAAACAAAATAATTAACAAAACTGTGATGTGGCCATAATGATGAAACGTGTGGAGGCAAATGTAAACAGATATTTTTGATACAAACGGGTGCAAGACTGAATGACAGACGTGGACAACAAAGCAGCGTCAACTTTAACCTCTGCAGACTCGCTCTAACACTCATCATAAATACACACAAAAGGTGCATGACATTCAAACCGAGTCCCTGCAGCTGCGTGGACTTTCAGATGATTGGTCGTAAACAATACATGATCCGAATGAAATGAAAAGGTTGATCTGATTACGGCTGTAGGTGGGTAAACATTTGCAACATGTAATGAGAGAGCAGGAGCCATTGTTTCTATGGAAAATACACAGGCCAAGGTCAGTGGTTTGAAGAACCTGGCGCGCGCGTGTGTGTGTGTGTGTGTGTGTGTGTGTGTGTGTGTGTGTGTGTGTGTGTGTGTCATTCATTATGCACCAGACAGCAGTCAAATAAGGATTGTTTGTATTTGTGTGGCCAACCCATATTGTGTGTGTGGGAGCTTTACCTGATTCTTTCCAGAAAGTCCCAAACTAAACACAAAAGTGTGTTTATGTAAGTCTGCAATCCGAGTCCTCTAAGCACACAGCAATGCATGCTCCATATGACAGCTTACATGTAGACGTATAATTAACCTTTATGTATTCAACAAGAATCAAGAGTCAATGTATATTTATATGAGTAGCTGTATCACCTTTTTGCTAAAAAAGTATGATGAATTATTCTTTTACATCATGGGCATTCACTGTTGTCGACAAACTATCAACTGTGTGTTTGTGTGTGCGTGTGCGTGTGCGTGTGTGTGTGTGTGAGAGAGAGACAGAAAGAGAGAGAGACAGAAAGAAAGAAATAACTAGAAGTAGTTATAAATATGACATTTCAACATTTGTGGAAATATATCCACTTTCTCTCTCGCAGAACGAGCTGTGTGTGTGTGTGTGTGTGTGTGTGTGTGTGTGTGTGTGTGTGTGTGTGTGTGTGTGTGTGAGAGAGAGACAGAAAGAGAGAGAGACAGAAAGAAAGAAATAACTAGAAGTAGTTATAAATATGACATTTCAACATTTGTGGAAATATATCCGCTTTCTCTCTCGCAGAACGAGCTGTGTGTGTGTGTGTGTGTGTGTGTGTGTGTGTGTGTGTGTCTCACCTGCCACCTCCCAGGAACAGCAGGCCCAGTGCCATGTGGTGAGCCATGTGGAAGCCGTAGTTCATCTCTCCGCCGGTCCTCTTGTGGAAGAAGCGACAGAGCTGCAGGACCTTCAGGTTCCCGGTGCCGGACATCACCATGGACATCGCCAGCAGAATCATGGACAGGCCGGTCTGCAGGTTGTAGTAACCCGTCTGCTGATTTATCCAGAACACAATATGACAGGCAGAGAAAGAGAGGGCAAAGCAGAAATATAAAATAATCATTATTTAAAGTAAAACTATGTGAGCACTTTCATGACTGTGATCACCTCCTATTCTTGTGTATGGCCCTTCTTATAATAGATTAAAGTAAAACGGTAAATATATATAATATTTAGGTATTAAAAATAATAGACTAATAGTATATGTTGATGTCTATATAGAAGAAGATGGACCTTTATCAAATGCAGTCGTACACACACACATGCGTTTTTTTTATATAGGTAATACAGTACACACAGTACACACTTTTTACAACATGCACATACATATACAAATACACACAGTTATATGCACACATGCACATGCAGTTGAGAGGTCAGAGCGGAGGCAGCCAGTCTAGCTGGTGCCAGTGAGCAGTTGGGGGTTAGGTGCCTTGCTCAAGGGTACTTCGGCAGTGGCCCAGGAGGTGAACTGGCTCCTCTCCAGTACCAGTCCACACTCCGTATTTGTTTTGGTCCGATCGGGACGTGAACCGGCGACCCTTCGGTCCAAAGTCCAATCCCCTACAGACTGAACCACTGCCGCCCCTATATTATGTTATTACACTGTATTCATTGTAATATAAACCTTTTTTTACATTTCAACTTATGTTAGTTGTTTTCTCCCTGGTATGAATATATTATTTTGATTCTTAATAATAATAATAATACATTTCATTTATATAGCACACTTTAAAACAACGTAATCTCAAGGTGCTTCACAAAGCTATAAGGAGAAAATAATAAAACAAATAAAATACAAAGATATCTAAGGAGCATATTGAATAAAATATGGTAATATAAAAAAAAGGTTAAGAGCATAAAAGGTTAGAATAAAAAATAAATAAAGTAAAGGACAGTCAGTAAAATGCTGTGCGGAACAGGTGGGTCTTGAGGCATTTCTTAAAAAGTGATGCAGAGGTCCGTATGTTCTCTGGAAGCTGATTCTACAGACGTGGACCCAGCACTCATAAGGTATACAAACTCATTCAAAGACTTACAACTGCAGCTGTACCAGCGAAGGACATGATCTTCATGAAGTTTCGCGCAAACTCGTAAAGGCAGTCAAAGGCGTCGGAGTTGGCAGAGCCGGCAAAACGCAAACCCAACGCCATGCAGGCCCCGGCTGTGATGTAGTCCTGAGCTTGGCTGACAGAAACAAAGAATATAATAATATCAGTAATGGCGGTGAGAAACTGCAGAGACTTTTGCTACCACAACTACAGAAGCTAGTCATATAAAGGAATCATGGATTAGGCAAAACTCAGCTGAAAGAGGTTTAACCAAGAATTCATATGAAATTAAATGCCAGTGTTTGGCTAAAATACTCACGCCATTGTCTCCATGTTAATGTCTTCTGAAGGGACAAAGGTCCCCCTCATGATCTGGAATGAAAGCAAATGTAGATACTTTCTATGGACAGTATCATGTGACTCATTATTTGACATTTTCTCATTTTTAAATGGGGCTCACAAATCGCCCATCTACTCCACACACACACACACACACACACACACACACACACACACACACACACACACACACACACACACACACACACACACACACACACACACACACACACACACACACACACACACACACACACACACACACACACACACACACCACACACACACACATCACACACACACACACACACAGCACACACACACACACACACACACACACACACACACACACACACACACACACACACACACACACACACACACACACACACACACACACACACACACACACACACACACACACACCCACACACACACACACACACACACACACCACACACACACACACACACACACACCACACACACACACACACACACACACACGATGTATTCAAAATAACTGTCTTTTATTCGTGTAAGAAACATCCATAGCCATTTGACATATTAACTGGACAGAAAAAGCAAAACATAATTCGAAACAAGTATATTAAGTTCTAACCAACTACGGTGGCATTAACCTATAATATCAATCTTTAAGAAGCACCAAGAAATTGTAGAAGTCACAGTAACTTTGCAGCATCACAGCTCAATAGTGTGCGTATGTTTGGTACGTGTGTATTTTCTCACCTGGGGTATGTTACTCTTGACCCACTTAGTATTTGGGAGGATTTCATCCCACATTATAATACACCGAGCAAGAGTCTGAGAGGAGAGGGAAGAAGGAGGAGAAAGACAGGTATACAACATTATAGAAAGGTGGGAAGAATGATCACACACACACACACACCTAGTGGCACACTAACCCTCAGCAGCAGAAACTCTGGCTTGATGAAGTCCAACAGGAACCAGGTGTCTGGAGGTTTCAGCCAATCAGCGATGGACCTAGTGGACAGAAGCAGGAAGAGACGAGGAGGTGTTAATACCTTCCTTCAACACCCTCTCAGCCAATAGATAGAGAGCATCAGACAGGAACCTCTTGACCAATAGCTGAGTATTGTTATTCTGTACAACTAGACTCACTGTTAGGATGTTCTTCTCACTTTGTACTTTCCATGCATTTATTGCCAAAGCATAATTTCTGTACTATATTTGTAAACCTAAGCGTCAGGGATAAAGTATGATGGATGATTCATTAACCACCAAACAATCTGCTATTCGGCACTATTAGTGGGCACTATGGGATAATGTCTGGCAAGTTATTTATTTAAGTGCACAAAGAGGGAAAAAGCATCAACTAGTCAACATATGGAAAGTACAAAGATACATTTGATGTCTTTTTTTTGGTCTTTTCTCACTTGTTGTTGGTCTTGAGGTAGATCATGGCGAGGGCCAGCGTTGCCCCTGGACACGTCACGTCTACATTTATAGTGTCACCCTCCTGAAACAAACATTGATAACATTAGGAAAAGCAAAAATAACAACATTTCAAAATGACAGTACCTCCAATCTTTGGCAGTTCTATACTTTAATCTCTTGGTACTAATAAACAGATATAAACAACAATGACAAATGCTATAATGATAGTGTTATGAATTATTTCCTTGACTTAAATAAATAATAATAATAATAATAATAGATTACATTTGTATAGCGCCTTTCAAGGGACCCAAGGCCGCTTTACATGGTGAACAAACAAACAAACAAACAAAAGGGGCAAATAATGAAGTTAAAAAATTGAATAAATAGCAGTAGGAGTGGAAGCAGGGGGACTGTGATGGGTTAGGGGTCAAATATAAAACAGATTGGCAGCTTCATGAAGAATATTGAACAAAGCAGTTCTACATCGATGCATCATATGTTATTACAGTAAGGTTATTTTATTAAAGAAAACTATTTGTCCATCTACCTTGATCTGGTAGCTGGGGGACTTGTGTCTCTCCTTGCTGGCCCCGGCCTGAGCCCTGCGGTGCCCCCCCCACCATGTACTGATACAGCTGCTCCGGGACGTTCAGGTCCGTCATCCCGATCAGGTTACTGCCATGCTGCAAGGAGATAGAGCAGAGGCTGGTTGGCGGATTATCTCCTTTAAACGGTCTGATATCACAAACCCACTTTAAAGATGTTTTGTGCAAATCTCTTTTTGACCAGGGGGGTGCGACTTACCCCCAGACACACCATGCCCAGAGCCAGTCCTGCAGCGAGGGAATAGGACTCTCTGTCAGTGCAGTACTCCATCTCTGGACCTGGAGGTCGACCTGAAGATACACAAGAAACCCAAAAGCTGAATTATATCTGTCCCACACACCAAACACATCAAAAGCACAAGGTAAAGATAGGTTTACAATCAACAATTATTTTGAATATCAATTCATGCTAGGATTATTTTCTTAATGAATCGATTGATCTATTAAAAAAAAGTTTAAAATGCTTGATATAAATGATATCTCCAAAGCCAAAAGAGATGTATTCACCTGTTCTAAAATTCAGTTTACTATCATAATATGAGCAACAAAAAGATAAGTGTCTAGAAGCTGGAACCAGTTTGGGGAAAAAGCTACAACTTTTGAAAATAGTTGCCAATCGACACATTGAATAATCAACCTATCGCAGCAGCATTGCTTTTGTTGATGCATTTTGACAGCATTATTATTATTGTTGATTTCATTGTGATGTTGTGTCATCTGTCAGTTGTTTGTACACAAACACACACATACCAGTGTTTCCACCAGACCAGGGCTGAGAGGGTGTCCACCCCGAGAGCGGGAGGGGGGTGAGGCGTCACGTCGTGTCACGCGACTTGAATTTTGAATTGAGCCGACCCTTAAGTTATAGATACTATCTCTTTACGTATTAGTGATGGGAATTCCGGCTCTTCTTAGTGAGCCGGATCATTTGGCTCGGCTCACTAAGAAGAGCCGGCTCTTTCGGCTCTTCATGTTACCACAGTTTACCACGGACCCTCAGTTTCGCCGCTGCGAGGCTCCGGCGCTCGCAGTTCACGCGCGTGCTCCACTAGCACCCCCCGCCGGGAGTACACTTCCCCTCACAGGAACACGCTTTTCCGGCGGCGAAAAGAATCCCACCAGACTCCTTTGCCCCTCCAACAGAGGGATGTCCTGGTCGTTTTTCCTCGATCTTCTCTCTAATTATTTATTTTTTTGGACGCCCTCGGCTCGAGTCAAATGACGGCAAGACGCCCCCCTGGCGGAAACGCTGATACATACACACACATACACACCTATCTCAGAGAGCAAGACTTCAGCGTTGTGTCTGTGTCCTGTTCCCTGGTACACCAGACCGATGCCGATTACAGCAGCAACCTGCAGAACAGAAAGAGAGAAATTTGATTGCTTATCATTTAATTTAGTTTGTCTATACAAACAATTGCACATTCTTCATGATATCCGTGTCTGTCTGCAGATCTTAATAAACACAGACATACTAATAGCCATGTAATTAATCATGTACTCACTCACTCATATATAATCACCGAAAAGTCCATTTCAAAGTGACTATTGTTCCTCATTATTGCACAGATACACAGATTAATTCTGATGCACTCTCACCTGAACATTGTGTGGTACATCCAGCTCGGTGGAGGTTGGTGGGAGAAGAGCAGGGATGTGAATACTAAGGAGGCGAGTGATTGACATGTCCATGGTGCCCAGTTTGGCTGAAGACACACCCAGAAGGAGCCCAATACTGGTCATCTCGTGACCCTGAGGGAGCAACAGGGACACAACGTTTCAGAAGAGAATAGTCAGAGGATTTGGGACAGCAACGAGAAAGCTTAGTTATTAGAATATTCAACAGAAGACAGTGAGTGAACATCTTAAAAGCTAAGATCGGAGGGATTTTTCTTCTAAGAATGGTCACCTTTAGTAAAAAGTATACAGCGAATGACGTCACAATACACAATGTATGTAATGTGTGTCCCTAATTACTTCCATTGTATTTAGCTCTTACTGTGAGGAATACTGACCGTGACAATGATTGACAGTTTCCATTATGCCCCTGCAGATAGCCTGTGTGTGCGTTTAATAAACATAAAGGCATACCAGGTTCTCCTGACATGTTTTAACACCAACAGTCTGAAAAAGGTCACCAGTTTTCAGTGTGACGCACCTACTGGATCATTTTGCTTTGTTTTCAAATTGAAAGGAAAACCACTACCTTTATCTTTGTGAACTCACTGAACTTCACTGGTGTTAATGACTGATATGGTGTTCATTCAACAGGTTCATTTGTTAGGTGAACTATTCCTCACTGCTATGTAGTGGTCAATTTGGTGAGAGTTTTTACAATTCATATTGTTGTAAAAGGATTGTCAAAGGTCAATTACTCTATTAAACAAACAGATTTGACTAGTTTAATGTCTGATTAAGAGATTCAGGTTATAAAGAAGACACAAATGAAAATGTTATCAATTACTGTTTTCACTATATTCTAAAAAAAGACACATTTTAAGCGGAACACTTTGATGATTGAAACAAATAAAGGACGAATTGGAGATGCTTAAAACACGAGAGTAGTCACACACACACCTAGACCTTCTCTCTTAAACCACAACCATACACTATTCGAATGAACTGATCCAAAGTACTTCAGTTTCTATTCTTGCTGTAAAACACAAATTACGTTGAAAGAAAACCACCAGCAAAAATGCCTCCCTGTCAGCAACACACACACACACACACACACACACCACACACACACACACACACACCCACACACACACACACACACACACACACACACACACACACACACACACACACACACACACACACACACACACACACACACACACACACACACACACACACACACACACACACACACACACACACACACACACACACACACACACACACACACACACACACACACACACACACACACACACACACACACAACACACACACACACACACACACACACACACACACACACACACAACACACACACACATCACACACACACACACACACACACACACACACACACACACACACACACACACACACACACACACACCAGCCGAAGCAAGTACGATGCCTACAGATGGTCGTAGACTTCACTGATGATTTTGAATGTATCCAGACTCAACGTAAGAGCTTGTGCCTCTTTGGGGGGTGCTAACATTTAGTTAACCTAAATTACATTTAAGACATACAACTGCAACGAAAGTAACAAAAACAATGTAATATCCTTTTCAGTTTCACAGAACACAAATTGGGTTATTTACACAATATGTTTACATGATTTTGTTGTGCAATACGATGGCTACACGACGGCATTGCGAGGGCTTCACGTAGTCGTGTTGCCTTCCTAAGACAATCGGGCAGCTTCTCGTTTCCTTCGTATTGTCTTCATGAGGCGAAAAATGCCCGATGGCACCGATGATCAGACGAAGATGACACGATTTGACAAGATGCCCTCACGAGTGCCTTACGAAGGGCAAAATGGACACACATATTCAACACGAAAATGAACCTTCGCAAGGTCCTTCGGCAATTTTTTGGCATGCCAAAGATTTTTCCACCGCTCACGCAGTTGCTGCCGGAGCCTGAGAAACTCCACCGGCGCCCAATGTTGTTATGATCAGAGTCGAATTTGATCTTTATCGTGTGTCCATCTGGTGTGACAGGGACTTTACAGGATGTGGATTTCTCGGGTATTTCAAAATCTGGATGAGAACAGCATTTCATTCAAATGATAGAGAAATGACTAATAAACAAAGCTCTTTGATGTTAATGAAGTGCAGATTTACATCCTGAATCAATATGGGAACTGAAAATGTGTGTGGATCTGGTACAATAGTTAGCTGCCTGTGATCTTTAACCACATCTCTGACTTACTAATTGTGCAAAAATAAGAATTGGCTTGCAGCTTCCTGTTGTTCTTCTTACATGAACGTGGGAAGGACTTTTCTCATTTCAAAGTGTTTAGACGGCAGAGTTTCACTTTGACTTGCTTTCTGCTCTGATGCAAGTTTAGGTCTCTCATTTACAGTCAGTTACACAAACATGATACTGTGTGTGTGTGTGTGTGTGTGTGTGTGTGTGTGTGTGTGTGTGTGTGTGTGTGTGTGTGTGTGTGTGTGTGTGTGTGTGTGTGTGTGTGTGTGTGTGTGTGTGTGTGTGTGTGTGTGTGCGCGTGTGTGTGTGTGTATATGCTAATTAGAGTAGATGGGTAGCTTTGTATAAACTGTATTTAAGTTCATATTTGTTTTCCTTTCTTGCAACTTTCTTTGTGTCATGGTGTGTTTAATGTCCTTTTATCACAGTGAGAAAACAGTAATTAAGTTCAATGTTGACTGTAAACTGAGCATTTAGGTTTAAAGGGTTTTAAATACAATGTGTAATTGTCTTAGCTGAGAAATTCAAGGGGTGACTTAAATTACAACCTAGTTCCCGCACATGTACGCCTTTGTGTGCGTGTGTGTGTACCTTGGTGAGGTAGTCATGTATGTTGAGCGTTGCCAGCTTGGTGAGGTGTCCGTTGAGGCCCAGGGCCATGAGGAAGCCGGCGTACTCATTGGCCAGCTCAGGGACCTTTGGCTTGTTGTAGGCAATCCAGGCCGAGTCCACCTTAACAAACAGAAAGAAAGTCACATTTATTTGTACAACAATAAGAAAAGGTTTGTTTACTGCAGAAGAGTAGAACGTTCACAATGAACACGTGAACATTTTGTAATCAGTCATCTCAAAATGTAAGATGTGAACATTTTGTTCATGGCACAAATGCCCTAAGTATATTTCATTCCAATATATTTGTCTTGACAATAGATGGGAAAATCTGTCTCATTGTGACTCGGCCGATACCGATCGCCGATCCGATCGAGTGGGTGGGGGCTATGGGGATCTTCCATTTAAAGTGATGTTTAAAACTCAGTTAATGGGGCTCATTCACTGGCGCTTCCACAAACAACAACCAACATAATTATTACATTCATAGCCGATTGATCGGAGCATCCCTCATTGTGACCTTAGAGGATATCACCAAAACAATTTGAGATTATTATGAGGGCTTTGAGCAGACACCCCATATGTAAGGGATACAAAGCAGGGCAATTCAAAGTCAGTCAAAGTCAACTTTATTATCAATCTTTCAGTTTGTGTGTACAGACAGAGATCGAAATACCGTTTCCCACAATCCCGAATATAAAAATACAAATATGTATAAAATATGTATATCCTATATCCTTTCCTGTAGGGAGTATACAGGTGCAGGTATGGAAAATGTGTCACATGGCCTGATGCAGCTGAGGTTTCAGACTGACCTGCGAAGCCGGGGCTATTTTGAGTCCGGCAGCTACTCCGTTGTGGAAGCTGGGCCAGCTGGTCATGTTGGGAGGAACATCAATGTTCCCGCTGTTCAGATCCACCATGGTGTTCCTAGGAGGGGCTCGGCCTGGGGTAGGAAATTAGAAATATACAGTACAATCTCGAAAATAAACTAAAAACCGACATGATTAAAACTTCTAGGTACTTCATGACAAGCAAAAACACTCTTACATATTCCTATTCAGCTATCAATTAGCTGATATAACCTGAAATGCTTATTTTCACAGTCTTCCTGTTAATGTGCATAGTAAAGGATTATCACATTACCTGTCAGGTTGAGTTTTGGGACAGGTAAAGGTTCTGTTAGTACAGGGTGATAAGAGAAGAGGGTGAAGAGGCCTCGGCCAACAGGAAGAGCCATGGTCCTCTGGCACAACTGCAGGAGTCTGGGGGAAGATACAAAGATGTGGACAAAAAGAGTCAGATAATATACAGTATATAATTGACAGCAGGCATATTTGATATATCTCTATATAAAGCCTCCAGAGAAGGAGAGGACAGCACTTATACATGGAATAAAGTCAGTGGAAGAACATGTTTAAAAAAGACAGACTGACAACAGGGTGACCAAAATATCAAGGAACAGAAAGAGAGAAAAAGGGAACAGTGGACAGGAAAATATGTTATATATGTCCTTGGAAATTACAGTGTTGCTGTCTTTGAGCATACAGTATGTTCCAAGACCACATGCATTAAGGACACACACAGACAAAACCTACTTTGGATGAGTGGATTGACATTGTTTATGATATTTTTAAGATGGAAAGGATAACCCTTGCTTTGAGATTGCAACAGGGAATCTTTTTGTCAAGATGGGAAAAATTGATAATATATGTTACACCAATACGACCATCTATTCTAGAAGGGATTTTGATGTCTTTTTTTTTTGGTCTTTTTTTCTATGCCCCCCTTGTTTCAACAAGTTGCAGGTACACCCCCATAACCCTGTTCGTGTTTATGTTCGTACTGTATGTTAAAGTATGTTTGAAGGTCAGTGAGGCCTGCTTCTGTATTATCCACAAATATGTAAGTTTGATTTGTGATTTCACTGTTAACTACAGAAGGCTTACAGAGAATATTGTATTGTCTATAGGCGCTTTCACACCAAGTACTTTGCCGTACTTAGTTCATCAGAACTCTTTAGTTCTGATGAACTAAAGAGCAGATCGCGTTCACACCGGAATAAGTCCCTGAGGGAGGATTAGTCAAATGAAGCCGTTGACGTCACTTCTTCTTCTTCTGCTTTGGGTTTACTGGCAGGCCGCAAACAACTTCACGGCGTATACTGCCACCCGAAGTCCCCGGCCGGAAGTCCCCGGAGTTAGAAGAAGCTAGTAGAAGTTAGTAGAAGCCTTCCGAGTAAATCGCCAGAACGCCGACACCTCCTCATCTCCACCGCTCCCATGTTTTATTTTGTGTTTAAGTTAGTCTCTCTGCGTTTGTGCGCTGGGCCAATGCTAATAATGCTAATGCGAGGATAATAAAATGGCGGCTTCACAAAACTTTTTGGGAGTTTTACTGGGCGTGGTTTGCAATCGGCCCAGCCAATCAGAAATGGGAACCTTTTTCTCCCATGAAAGTACCTGCTCTCTAGCAGGGACTGAAAAGGGGGTGAAAAGGTTCTCATGAACTAAGTTTTAGTTCCGGATTTTTTTGGTGTGAACGCAAATTTTCTGAACTATCACGGAACTATACTGGGAAAAATATAAAAAAAAGTTTTGAAAAACGGACACACACAGACATAATACTCACTTGTTCTCTTTCTCCTCTATGTACTCGTGATCAGAGACCTCTGGTAGCTGGACGACACTGACCCGGACCGGCCTGGAGCTCTGCAGCAGCCTCCTCACCTCCTGGACCCTCAGATCCTGACTCCAGATCAGCCCTGTGACCTGCAGAGGAGAACATACCAAATCAGACTCATGTTTGTTGTACCACCTTAAGATCAACAATAAACCCGATTCAGATAATGGCTAGAATGAAGACAGACCAACGATGCAAGAGATTAATATGAACTGTGTGTGTGTTTACCTCTTGAATAATGTCCGACATCCCGTCTTCCTCCTCGTCTGCTTCTGTGGTCGCAGGAGGCTCCAAGGAGAGACCTGAACCAACAGACTGCAAATACACACAATATGATTCATATATTTACAAAAGGGCTGTCATAATATTAGACTTTCCCTACACAATATATGGTAGCCAAAATAATTCACTTTAAAAATATTATCGCAAATAAATAACACTCAAAATACAAGTATAGGGAGATAGAAATTAGGGTCTGTGACCATAACGTCTTAACCTATGGATTAAGACACAATGTATATTTTACCCAATATTCTCATATGTGCAATATTAACATGATATCAATATTTCGTTTTTTAAATATCACAGTGACCTTCAATACTGGGATATCACGAACATCCTTATAAAAATAAAGCAACAATGAAAGCTAGTTAAATATGTACAGACTGATTTTTCATCTCAACAACCTTACTGATTTAAAGATTTACTGTTAATTAATTTATAGGAAAGAAGATATTATTTCTGAATCCTCTGTTGTCTGACAAATGTAGGTTTTAGGCAAGCAGACTTCCTTTAGCGATGTTAAAACTACAGCTGAAAGCTAAAAACATATTGCAGGGGTTGGTAGTGGGATTTGCATACACTGATTATAATCACAAATGAAGTAATAGAAAATACCTGAAGGGACAAAGATTAGACTGAAATCCTTCATTAGAGCCGAGTAGTACACGGTCAGCAGACAGTTTGTCTACCTTAGCCTAACTCTTGATAAAAAAAGCCCTGGTTATTAACTTGTTCCACACTCACAGCTTTGTTTTTGGCCAGGGACATCTTGTGTGCTTGTTTAGTCAGATCCTGTCGCCCAATCAGCAGACAGACCTCCTCTGACCAATCAGAGCACGGTCGCTCCCGGCAGCGGTAGATGGCCTCTCTGATTGGCAGAGCCACACCGAAGGGAACCGACTCCAGGTCCTTCAGGGTGAAACCTAAAACAGAGAAAAGACCAGGGTAGGTGAGTCATTTCTGGTTAAAGAGGAAGCAAATGTGTCATAACAGTTACAAAAAGCAACTCCTGCTTCATCACGAGCATCTTGTCATGTTAATATTAATCTTTATTCGTTAACAAATGTTGTTTAATGGTGCATTCAGACCATAAATTGATGGTAGCCTTGACACATGCACAATTGTTACACTTGGACCCAATTATCAAACCACTTTAATAGCAGTTCAAATGGTTTTGTACCTACAAAATGTCGCCGTACAGGTATGAATGTGTGAAATTGCATTAATGTAAAGTGCAGTGCACAAAAAGAGGATAAGGCTTTAGCACGTGTCCCTTTGTTTAGATAAAAGCTGAAAAGATCTACTTGTCTTACCTTCTGAGGTGAGCCACACCACCAGCTGCTCAGCCAGACTCTCACTGGAAAACTGAACTTTCACACTGCTTTGTCTAAAATAAATACATGTAAAAATTAGTCAAGACTAAATAGTAGAAAGTGAATAAAATAAGAAGTATTTATTTTCAAGATGTTCACACTATCCCACTGATCTACAGGTGGCAGTAATGCGCCAATAAACTTTTAATGCAACAACTAAGGCAATAAAGAAGAACACTTATAGCAAACAAGGGTGGAAACAATACATTAATATGTCCAGAATAAATGATATGCCAATATTATAGAGCAATTAAATACATTCAACATTTATTTTTACTATAACAGCATATTTTGCAGCTGTATCATATGCAGTACATTAGCAAATAAACTCAAGGACCATGATTTACTGTGATGTTTAAATAAAGCATGTTATTAATGATCTGATAGTAGTTGCTTTAAAAAATAAAATCATAAAGCTATTTCTTCTTGAGCTGAATTACCTCCTGTACTGCGGTTCACTGGCACAGTTCTTCTGGCCTGGGAAAGTGGAGGATGAGAGGAAGAGAGCAGGAGGGAAAGGTCAACGAGTTCATTCATTTCTCTCTCCTCTTTGTGAGGTTGTCAAATTATGCTCATCACATTTTCATAACACTTGAAGGAAACTGTGCAACCCTCAAATGCATTAAAGCATTTTCGTCACTAAAAAGAACAGGCACTTAAATTACAGGTTGAAATGAAGGCGACATTTTGTTCCTGTTGAGTTGAGGACTGCGTTTATGTGGAATGACCAGAGTTCCCGTTAGCCGGTAATTACCGGACTATGACCGGTAAAATATGCTGAAGACCGGCAAATCTAAATCTCTCCGGTCAAAATAATTTCCCCTTAGCGCAATACCGCATCAGTTGCGCCACTTATGTGACAGACAAGAAGAGTATGTGACAGACAAGAAGAGTATGTGACAGACAAGAAGAGTATGTGACAGACAAGAAGAGTATGTGATAGACAGAAGAGTATGTGACAGACAAGAAGAGTATGTGACAGAGAGAAGAGTATGTGACAGACAAAAGAGTATGTGAGAGACAAGAAGAGTATGTGACAGACAAAAGAGTAGGTGACAGACAAGAAGAGTATGTGACAGACAAAATAGTATGTGACAGAGAGAAGAGTATGTGACAGAGAGAAGAGTATGTGACAGAGAGAAGAGTATGTGACAGAGAGAAGAGTATGTGACAGACAAAAGAGTATGTGACAGACAAAATAGTATGTGACAGAGAGAAGAGTATGTGACAGAGAGAAGAGTATGTGACAGAGAGAAGAGTATGTGACAGACAAAAGAGTATGTGACAGACAAGAAGAGTATGTGACAGACAAGAAGAGTATGTGACAGACAAAAGAGTATGTGACAGACAAGAAGAGTATGTGACAGACAAGAAGAGTATGTGACAGACAAAAGAGTATGTGACAGACAAGAAGAGTATGTGACAGACAAGAAGAGTATGTGACAGACAAGAAGAGTATGTGACAGACAAAAGAGTATGTGAGAGACAAGAAGAGTATGTGACAGACAAGAACAGTATGTGACAGACAAGAAGAGTATGTGACAGACAAGAAGAGTATGTGACAGACAAGAATAGTATGTCACAGACAGAAGAGTATGTGACAGACAAAAGAGTATGTGACAGACAAAGAGTATGTGACAGACAAGAATAGTATGTGACAGACAAAAGAGTATGTGACAGACAAGAAGAGTATGTGACAGACAAGAATAGTATGTGACAGACAAGAATAGTATGTGACAGACAAGAATAGTATGTGACAGACAAGAAGAGTATGTGACAGACAAGAAGAGTATGTGACAGACAAGAAGAGTATGTGACAGACAAGAAGAGTATGTGACAGACAAGAATAGTATGTGACAGACAAAAGAGTATGTGACAGACAAGAAGAGTATGTGACAGACAAGAAGAGTATGTGACAGACAAAAGAGTATGTGACAGACAAGAATAGTATGTGACAGACAAAAGAGTATGTGACAGACAAGAATAGTATGTGACAGACAAGAAGAGTGTGTGACAGACAGAAGAGTATGTGACAGACAAAAGAGTATGTGACAGACAAGAAGAGTATGTGACAGACAAGAAGAGTATGTGACAGACAAGAATAGTATGTGACAGACAAGAATAGTATGTGACAGACAAGAATAGTATGTGACAGACAAGAAGAGTATGTGACAGACAAGAAGAGTATGTGACAGACAAGAATAGTATGTGGACAGACAAGAATAGTATGTGACAGACAAGAAGAGTATGTGACAGACAAGAATAAGTATGTGACAGACAAGAAGAGTATGTGACAGACAAGAAGAGTATGTGACAGACAAGAAGAGTATGTGACAGACAAGAAGAGTATGTGACAGACAAGAAGAGTATGTGACAGACAAGAATAGTATGTGACAGACAAGAACAGTATGTGACAGACAAGAAGAGTATGTGACAGACAAAAGAGTATGTGACAGACAAAAGAGTATGTGACAGACAATAATAGTATGTGACAGACAAAAGAGTATGTGACAGACAAGAATAGTATGTGACAGACAAAAGAGTATGTGACAGACAAGAATAGTATGTGACAGACAAAAGAGTATGTGACAGACAAGAATAGTATGTGACAGACAAGAAGAGTGTGTGACAGACAGAAGAGTATGTGACAGACAAAAGAGTATGTGACAGACAAAGAAGAGTATGTGACAGACAAGAAGAGTATGTGACAGACAAGAATAGTATGTGACAGACAAGAATAGTATGTGACAGACAAAAGAGTATGTGACAGACAAGAATAGTATGTGACAGACAAGAATAGTATGTGACAGACAAGAAGAGTATGTGACAGACAAAAGAGTATGTGACAGACAAGAAGAGTATGTGACAGACAAGAATAGTATGTGACAGACAAGAAGAGTACATTCTAATGTCTAACACTTAATGTGGAGAAAGAGATGTCCTGTATGGGTTGATTGTGCGTTGATCTGTTGGTAATGCCTCGGGGTTCCGGTGGGCATGTAAACAAATGCATAATGCTGCGCTATACTTTGTGGCCTCACCCGGTTGCATAGCGACGCTTATTGTTTAGGTGTCTTTTAAATAAGCAGGTAGTCATATCATTAGCTAGAACTAGCTGGATCTGATCGACATGGACATAAACGCGAGTGAAGTCTAATCTGACGGGAGAGAGAGATCAGCTGCTGCTGACGAGTCGACACGCAACTCTGCATGATCACCTGCAGCGGTGAGCGGAGCAAAACACACACTTCAGGTTAGAACATCACACGTAGCTATTTTAATTACCTCTCAAACTACCTAAACTAGTTATAGATATGTTTAGTTTTACTGTCGGATCACGCATTACTGGATCCGCGAGCTGCATGATACTGGCGGGCTGTCAGGAGAGGGAGAGAGTGCTCCGTTTATTATTCCCGTGTTTTTGTAAGTTACTGTACACTTTTGAATAATGTAGTTAATCTACTATAATTAGTTTGTTTAATATCGAATCATATCAATTTGTTTTATAGCTCAATAAATAACAAAGAAGACCTTTGACCGGCACTTTTCTACTTTTGTCCGGAAGATTTCAACTTTAACGGACCGGCGAAAAAATATTCTAACGGGAACTCTGGGAATGACACCTTGCTTGTTTGGATTTGTCACTGAACAATGTCAACATAGAGCTGAAAAAAGTGAAATGACTGATTCTGTGTCAGTGGAAAACGGGCTGATCAAATACCTGCAGTGACCTCCAAACTGTATTACGTTTCCAAGCCAAAACAATGGGAGGAAATTAGGTCACACACGTGCATGCGTCACTGCTTTTGTTTTGTGATTCTGGACTGAAACAAACAGTCCCAGGATGCAATTAAAGACAAGTAAATAATCTTTAGGAGTCACAAAGACACACACACACACCTGCAGAAAGCTTGGCCAGGTATTTTGATTTATCCGTTGAAGTAGCTCGTTCATTTCCAATGATGTAGAGAGCATAACTCTGAAAAAGGAGAAAGAGAAACAGAGAATGAGAAACAAGAGAGACAAAGATAAATAATACTGTTTAAACACCTCGCAAGACATTCATTTTTTTTAATTATGTAACTTTTTATTTTATTTTTTATGATATCATAACTTAGTACTTTTTTGAATGCATGTCACATATTTAACATATGTAACATTAAGCTGTCTGTGGCTCTTTTTCCTGCTGTAACTACGTACATTTCCCCTCCGTGGGACTAATAAAGGTATTCTGATTCTGATTCTGAAAGCCATGTTTGTTAGAATAAGCGTGGTGGCAGATCTCTGACCCACCGCCCACATCTCTGATTTGTTGTAAATAACGAATAAGGTGAAACAAAATGGCGATTAAAACTGATTATCAGGCTAGACAACAACTGCAGACCCGTGAAAATGCAAGTCTACTTGACTGAAAACACATTTTCAATTTAATGCAGGAAATATTTAATTTCATGGCTTTCAATAACTTTGTATGCCCTGTAAGGATAATGACGCATGTTTTTTAAAGGATATTTTCACATTGTGATCTGTACTGTCTATATATTTGTACGACCATGTATATCTATCTATATCTATAGGTTTCTCTAATCTGTCTCAAACAAAGTCAGATGGAAATACGACTTGTTTTCACGTGCCCTTCCTTCCTTGATAATAAAAGGTTGAATCCATCAGCAGCACATCTCCAGACATAATTGCTCTTCATGTTCAGAAAAAGAATAACAGACATGCTACACATATAAATTATCTGACTGCGTCCCAATCAGAGCTAAACTCTTTCCCCTCGCTCTCACAGACACTCGTCAGCAAGCAGGTGGAAATCAAGTTTAAAAAAGAAAGACAGAACATCATTAGAGTCAAGTAAAAACCAACTGTTAGACATCACCACAGACCTTTGAATATGAACAATGAAAATCATGCTGCTTTTATGAAGGTCAGGTTCTACAAAAGTGAACATTTTACTGAAATACAGCTGGAATTCCTTACTTCCTGTGGCGTGTATGAACAATCTTAAATGATTCTATCCCGATAGTTCTTCAAGGATCTCTCCACATGTGAAAATACAAAGGTAAACATGGCATACCTAAGTCCGTTCACCTTCACCTCAGGGTTTCCGTTAGCCGGTAATTACCGGTTTTTAGTTGGTAAACTGTATTAAAAACCGGTAAATTCAAAACCTGCCGGTCAAAATGTCCGGTAATAATTAGGGATGCTCCGATCGATCGGCCGCCGGTCATTATCGGCCGATATTCACTCTTAATAGTTTGATCGATGCTCTCTATAAAGGCCGATCAGGAGAGCTGGATCTGATCGATATGGACATAAACGCGAGTGAAGTATAACCGGACGCGAGAGAGGGATCAGAGATCGGATCAGCTGCTGGGTCTGACGGAGACACGCAGCTCTGCATGATCACCTGAAGCCCCGCCCACTGTTTAGCGAGCTGCATGAGAAACTGACGGGCTGTCAGGAGAGAGAGAGAGAGGGAGAGAGAGGCTCCGGTTCTCCCGTGTTATTATCCAAAGTTAATGTAAACTTTTGAATAATGTACTTTATCTACTATAAGTAGTTTGTTTGAATGTAATAATTATGTTGTTTGTGGAAGCGCATCATTTATTGAAAAATTAATCTGAACTTTTCGATCTGTTACGATTATAAACTGAAGCAATATAAAAATGAGCCCCATTAACTGAGTTTTAAACCTTCAGCATATCCGGTCATAGTCCGGTAATAACCTGCTGACGGAAACTCTGCTACACAATTATTATTATTATTGAAACATGACCGGTAAGTTTCAAATTTGTCCGGTAAAATAAATTATTTCCGGACATTTGACCGGCAAGTAAGAATCCTAGCGGAAACCCTGCTTCACCTATATGAGCTGTGCTCCCTATAATAGACATTGATTGGTTAGTATCTTTCACCGTTCCTTATTGTTCCTTATTCTATATTTAGTATTTGTACTTTATCAAAGCAGTATTTCCAAGTTTCCGCAGCGGGAAATACATTTTGTCTTATTCCTGTGTTTCAATGATAATAATAACTTTAATTGATCTAGCGCCTATCAGGAGACCCAAGGTCATTGATAACCCTTTACACACACACACACACACACACACACACACACACACACACACACACACACACACACACACACACACACACACACACACACACACACACACACACACACACACACACACACACACACACACACACACACACACACACACACACACACACACACACACACACACACACACACACACACACACACACACACACACACACACACCACACACACACACACACACACACACACACACACACACACACACACACACACACACACACACACACACACCACACACACACACACACACACACACACACACACACACACACACACACACACACACACACACACACACACACACAGAGAGAGAGAGGCTGGACCTTTGTTATTCCAATTGTTTCTACAAATTACTTCAAAAGTAAAATACCAAATTCTAGACATAAGCAAGTATTCGGGACTCAAAAGTTGTTCTTGTGATTTTCTCCACTCTGTTCTCTCCACTTTGCTTGTCCTCTGATGAATAATATGAATTTGGTTGAGGCCACATGATGCACATCACACATGTAAAGGTTAGGATTTCTCCAAGTTAAACCAAATAAAGCGCTGGTCGTACAAACTGCTCCAATTACTAGGATGGGTAAAAAGCAGAGAACAAATGTCACTGTGTGTGCATGATCATGCGTGACCATTAAAGAGGGTTTCATCCCTCCAATTATATCTATCTATTTACCAGAACCAGCAGCCGGGTCCTGTGGCAGATGCCGGGCAGGCAGGGGAAAGGCGGGACTTCCTCTCCTCTCAGACAGCTGCTGAGCCAGCTGAGCACGCAGGGAGGCTCCTCCGTCAGGAAGGACGGACGCTGCATCTGACCAATCAGAGCTGAGGAGGGAGAGAGCATAGATCTTAGAACAGCAAACTCCCTTCAAATGTTTAGAAGCTAATTAAAAACCTATCTTTTAATATGGCTTTTAATTTGGGTTAACTTTCAATTATCACTAGTATCATTGTCCATGTTTTACTGTATTGTTTTTCTGTTTTGCTTTTATTTCACATTTTAAATTTGTTTTATTTTAACATATTTTCACTGTAGATGTTTTATCTTGTTCTGTTCAACAATATTATTTTAATATTGTTGTTATGTTTTCTGTGAAGCACTTTGAGCTGCTTTGTGCATGAAAGGTGCTATGCAAATAAAGTGTATCATTATTATTGTTATTATTATTATAGAGGCAAAAAGTTACTCATTTGTGTGAAAATCTTTGTTTTTTAGTACAGAAAGACAATAGACTCTGTAAGAAATACAACTTTTGTAAGGATTATGACTTTTCTTGGTTTTAAAGGCCGCATTAGAGTTAAGTGATGTCATTTTTCTGGTGCATCTCTCTCTCTCTGTGTGTGTGTGTGTGTGTGTGTGTGTGTGTGTGTGTGTGTGTGTGTGTGTGTGTGTGTGTGTGTGTGTGTGTGTGTGTGTGTGTGTGTGTGTGTGTGTGTGTGTGTGACCTAGCATTACTATCTTTGTGGGGACCTAGATCTGTTTACACTGTCACGTGTGGGGACTGGCTTCCCTTATGGGGACAAAATGGAGGTCCCCTTAACCCCACAATATTGTGATTATTCATTGTCTCCATATCAGCAAAATATGTTATTCACTTTTTAAGGTTAATGCTACAACCACAGATAAACATAGGGACAATAAAGACTGTAGTGTTGTCATACAGAAGCAGACCAGTCTGTCCTCTCTGTTTCAGTACAACATGCTTTGTCTGTTTCCTGATTGTATATCATTAATTAGAGTAGCAAAAGTATTATTTGCTACTTCTTACCCTGGTCTATGACGCAACTCTCAGTGAAGCCACTTATTAAGGAGGGGTAGTCTCTCCAGTACAGATCCACATACTCATCCAACTGGAGGTCTCTGCAAACAAAAAGAAAGTAAGCATTATAAATATTAATATTCCTCTACAGCAATGACCTTATATATACACAACACTTAACACCTCAGATTGTTTCTAAACTTGTATCCCCAGGTCTCAGTACAGCTGGACAAACAACAGCTGCAGGGCATTGAATCAAATCTAAATATGGCAGCACATTATCAAAGAGACTCTGTGGCATTTCACTTGTTTTTGAGCAGTAATTAAAACGCATGGTATGAGTCATTACCATTCTGCTTAACATCAGATAATCAATAGTTTTTAATCCTGACTCCCACACAATTTCAGTTCTGTGTGTGTGCGAGTGTGTGTGTGTGTGTGTGATACAATGGGAAATAGTTTGTAAAAGGTGTTGAAGTATTCACGTGCAGGCCTGTGAAAGTAATGATTAATATAAGTCTTTTATCCCTTCTGCTTTTAGTCTTCTTGATTCCTATTTTTCCCTTTGCATTTGTATGGCCTAATAGCTGTATGTATGTTTTTTTGAGGTATTTATAGTAATTTATTGATGTATTTATGACAAATGTCCCATATACTTTAGGCCTGCAGCCTTTGATTGTTATTTTTGACATGGATTACAGGAGTTAATATATTTATATTGAATTTAATGTAACCATTAATTGAACACCATTATCAAACTATATTTTCATGATAATACAATTATTGTATAAATAATTATGCAAATTCTTACCGAAAACGTTGCTACTGTATGAAAATAAATATAAATCTACTATTTATTTATATATTTTGAATCTCATATTGAAAGCACAGAAATTAAATGAATGAAAATATATTGTATGCTGTGTAATATTAAAGGTCCCATGTCATGCTTTTCTGGCTATTACCCGTCCCCTTGTGTGTTATGAAGGTTTGTATGCATGTAAACGGTCTGCAAAGTCACTAACCCTCAAAGTACACCCTGTAGCGAGTAAAGCTCTAACACAGAAAAGACCTGTCTATGCTGCCCCAGAACGCCTCGTTGGAGATTTTTTATTTTCTTCCGGGAAAGAAAATAAAAAAGGACTCAAACCAATTTAAAACCAAATTCTTGCAGATAATTGATAAGGATTTAAAAGAAATATGATCACTCCCCAAAAATACCTATTAAAACAATATGGATCATAATTGTAGCCTTAACCGGTTGTCCTGATAACAGCAAGAGTGTAAAAAAGTGCACCATACTTCAAAACTGCCCACACACTTCCCAACAAAGGCCAATTACTCTGAAGAGCGCTTCACTCTCCCACTCCACCTATCCTGTTATTGTCATTGTCACCAGCCACAGCGGTCACTCGACAACCTTTTAAAGTTTATTTCTCCGTACGAAAAGCTTTGATTGCACATACGCATTCACTAAAAACAATGCTCTCCTCATGGTGAGAGTTAAACGTGGTTGGGTGAGAAGTAGACCAGGTTTAGATTGTTGTGATACTATTTTGTAACCTTTATGTGTTTTAAAGGTGCCCTATTATACTGTTTTTCATCAATATATTATAGGTCTCAGATATATACAAAACATGTCTCTGAAGTGTTTGGCTCCAAACCCCAAACAGATCATAGCAGCATTACCCATAATCCCCTCTGTTTTCGGCCCTGTTTCAAAAGTGCTGATTCTCTGTCTGTTACTTTAGATGAAAATAAGGAGCCCCTCCCCACGCCCCTCTGAGAGATATTTGGTTACAAAAAACACAATGGTGCTCCAGGAGGAAATTCAGGTGATAAGGTGGGGGGGGGGGGGGGGGGGGGGTTACCTTGGTTGGTGATTGGCTAATGGTTACAAGCCAAAACATCGTTATGACATCATAAAGTGGCCAAAATCTGATCAGCTCATTTTCAGACAGGTTTTTATATAAATGGATCAGGACATAATACATGAACAAGTGGATTTTGCATAATAGGTGACCTTTAAAGCAACAATGTTTAACTGTTTTCACACTCATTAAAGTCATTGTCAGCATGACTTAAATGCTAATTTCATATGCATAAATATAGGATCAAAACAATCAATCTAAATAACTTTATTTATTCACACACACACACACACACACACACAACACACACACACAAACACACACACACACACACACACACACACACACACACACACACACACACACACACACACACACACACACACACACACACACCACACACACACACACACACACACACACACACACACACCACACACACACACACACACACACACACACACACACACACACACACACACACACACACAACACACTACACACACACACACACACACACACACACACACACACACACACACACACACACACACACACACACACACACACCACACACACACACACACACACACACACACACACACACACACACACACACACACACACACACACACACACACACACACACCAACCTCGCCAGCTGTTGCAGCAGACAGACCAGCGATGAGGCTCTCGCTCTCTGCAGCTCGTCCAGCTGCAGCTCCTGGTAGAGCAGATGGAGAACGTAGAAAAGAGCGGGAATGTGAGGGAAGAGAGGAGCCGAACTGTCCAACTTCAGAGAGGGAATGGGGGTAGAGGACATCTAGGACATGGATAGCAGGAGAGGAAAGGGAGAAAACATTTAAATAGTCAGTACGAGGCAAAAACTGGTGTACATAGACGTTAAATAAGATAAGTTTGTGCACAGATGGAAGGCTGACAGGCAGGTAGGCCATCCAGTTATTTTAGCCGGGCCGGCTCAAATGATTGGTCGTACTTTTTACAGTACTACTGTACGGCTTCCACAGATGACATTTTTTAATGGATTTTTTGTCAAAGCACTTAAGATATTCATTGCTATCGGGATGTTAAGAGCATTCCATGGAATATAACAAAAAGTGTATCTCGAGCCGGTTTCTCAAACTTACCTACCCCACCTTTAATGTTCTCCTCTCTATTTATCTTTATTCTGATATTGTGACAATATTTCCTTTCATTAAAAAAAAGACAGTGCTCCTGAAATTGCTTAAGAGCCGGTTACTCACATTTTCTGTAGTGAGAGCATTGTTGGAGCAGATAGGTTGGGAATTAATCTGCCGGTGGTAGTGAGACCCTAACAGGTAGTCCAGGTCCTACAGAGAGAAGAGATTAAATGCAGATTAAAGCAGGGTTCTCTGACAGGACAGGGTTTAGGGTTTAGGGCAGGGCTATTCAATTAGTTTGGAATGGGGGCCGGTTGATGAAAATGATCCAAAGCAAGGGGCCGGGAAAAAGATGGCTTGAAATATGAGCAATCATATTTAAGAGCTTCAGATACAGTAAATACTACAACAGCATAGTGGAGTGCATATATTGTGTTTAATTAAACCAAACAACATAGCCCCAAGGCCTTTATAGATCTAAATGGCAAGTTCAGAACTCAGTAGGCCTACATGTGAAGCTAATTTAACCATCAACATCATTTCATTTGATTTAATTTAGGTGAAATGATCTAATCATTCACGCAGAGATGGAATAAATGACAGGAGTTGTCACTACAGTAGCTAGTAGGTGGGTTCGAAACCCGAGCCCGCCGAAGTTTTCAGGCAATGTCTTCCCCTCTATCTCTCAATTTAACACCCTCTCTGGAATAAAGGCACTCTGGCCCAAAAAACGAATTGAATAGCCCTGGTAAAGGGTATATCAGAGTCCTGCACTGGCTTCAATATCCTGCAAAACAGTAGTGTATAGGGAGAATTCACAGTACAGTCATGACCATGGCAGAAATGAATCTAATGTGGTGGGTGGGGGAGCAGAACAAAATATGTCTGTTTGTAAATGATTGTGCAGTATTTTTTAAATCTAAGCCTGGAACTGATTGCAGAATGTGTTTGCCTTTCAGGATATTGATCGAGCGGAGCCAGAGAAAGAGGCTTTTCCTCGTTTCCTAGATTTTTTATTCAATAAGAGAAAACCCAGATTAAATAGGTGTTGAATCGAAGCACTTTAAAGTGGTTGTTGGTTTAGCCTGTGTGTTTATTTACAGGTCATGTCAGGGGACTTATAATAATGTTGGGGTGGGGTCTGTCCGAATTTGACTTGGAGATCATTGCAGGTAACATGCACAGCTTTGAGGGCGCAGGTTTGCAACACTTGACATGTCCGTGTAAAAATGTGCTCCAAGACATAATGGATTTGTGACTATCTGATGGATAAAAAGACAGCATGTGTTGTGAGAACTATCATTTTAACATTCAGATTGCTTATACATACATTATATGTGAAATTTATGTCTATTCTGTGTATTACTTGTGGCTGCAAAACCATCATAACATCCGTGAAAAGTCATAGGCAGGGTCAACAGGATGCTTCAGTTTAATTTGGCTCATTCAGTTCCTCAGGTCAAACAAATACGCACACACAAACATACATACACTCAACCAGGCACACACAAATACCCTTACAAACACACATACAAAAGTACAGAGCACAGCCTAAGCCTCCAGCTGATTGACATTTGACAGTCATGCTTTGCTCCGATGAACCCACATAAACACAGACCACTTAACAACCCTCCACCTTTAATCTGGTGTGTGTGTGTGTGTGTGTGTGTGTGTGTGTGTGTGTGTGTGTGTGTGTGTGTGTGTGTGTGTGTGTGTGTGTGTGTGTGTGTGTGTGTGTGTGTGTGTGTGTGTGTGTCAGAGACTACAGGTTATTTTTTTTCCAATTATGTGTCATTTATTCTTAGACGCACATTGAAAGGGTCTCCTGGGTGAATAAGGTTTTTCTGGAGCGCTGGGCTTTCCCTTTGTCAAACACAGTTAAAGTGAAATATTTGGGTGGGTTCCCTCCAATGTTACATTTCCAAAGCAAACAGACTTCTCTGCCTGGGTTTTCCCATGAAAAAGGCTCCATTATTTCAGTCTACGAACAAATTGTATATATTTTTTTTATCTTAACTTTATTAAATGTTTTCATGTCCTCTTCCTACATTCGGAAACCGCTACAACCACAAAATGTATTCAAACACTATTATTTCTTCAAGCTACGATAACAAAAATATTTCCAGGATGTTCTAAAGACAAACTAATTTTGTAACACTATTGCACCACTACTGGATTATTATTCTATCAAGCATCTACATATAGTAGTTAAGATAATGAATTATCACATTAAAATAACAATTCTTGATTGGTCTGAAAATCAGTTTTAAAGTTGATTTCCTTTAAAGTTTAAGACATATAAGGAAGAATTAACCTTTGCTTACAGTGTAATAACATTCAGACATTACAGAGATAGTGCTTTGCGTTAACTGTGCCCCAAACATCACAACAGGTCACACTTTGTCACACACCTCTTCAGAGCCTCCATCAGAGGGACGTGCCTTCTTAGCAGCAATCACCGGAGAGAGAGGCACTTCAAAATGCAGCTGTGGAGAGAGGGGGGGGGGGCAGAGAGCAAGGTCAAAACATGCGAATGAGTGTTTGAAGTTCAAATAAGAAACTAATAAGAATTTCTGTGGAAAAACCACATTTGTTTCTTTTACACACCCAAAATCAGTAGTAAACAAACAAACACTCAACAACCATGCTGGAGACCTTGTAAACATCTGGAACCTCACCATACACATGTGTTTTGGAGCTGCAGTAAAATGCAACCTTTCTGGGACTGTGTACACTCTGTTCTATGCAAGGTATTAGGCTATAGAATCCCTCAAACCTGTCTGGTATTATATCTGGGACATATGGAAGGATCTGTACATGTCGGAGATCAATACCTGATCAAGATCCTCCTAGCTGCTGGAAAGAAGGCTATCACTAAGAACTGGCTAAAGGCGGAAACACCAAGCTACAGACAATGGGTTAATATTATTGGTGATATTCTAATAATGGAGAAAATCACATACAAGTTGAAAGTAATGGAAGACACATTTCTTATGGGCTGGGAAAAATGGTTAGGGTACATATCAACAAAGGAGTCATAAAAAAAGCAAGCATTATTTGATTACTATGTAGATCGTCTCCATACAGGCACTGTTCTCTCTGAAATGTAATATTTGTTTGTATGTAATTTTACCTTGTGAAGAAAACAATAAAAGAAAGCTACAAAAATAAAAGCAGAAATGAATAGAAAACCCTTCTCCAGCGGACTCACGTTTCGTGTCCACGCCAGGCGCTCAGTGTTGTAGCCCATCAGCGTCATGAAGCAGGTGACAAACAGGTTCCACTCTGCGTGAGCACTCGGACCCCCGGGCGCGTTGTAGATGTTATACCACTTCACCAAAACCTGAAAAAAAATACAGGAATTTAGAATCAGAATCAGAATCCCTTTATTAGTCCCACAGAGGGGGAATGTACTTTGTTCCAGCAGAAAAGAGCTCAATGTTACCTAAGATCAGTGTTGGGTGTAACGCACTACAAAAGTAACAGAGTTACAGTAATGTAACGCATTACTAATGAAATGTGGGTAATATACTACCCGTTACAATTATCAGTTACAACTCATTTTAACCCGAAATTAAATGTTGTTTTGTTTTTTAAGAATTTACCAACATTGCGAGACATTCCTACACCAGAGATAGGTAGATTAGTAAGCCTGGTGTTTACCCTTCTGGCTGATCAAGGTCCCTCCGCTTCGCGCCGGGTTCCCTGATCAGCCTGTCGGGTGTTCTTTTCCCCATAATGACCGCCTCGCTGCACATTATCCCGTTTATTACACGGCCATATACTAAACAAACTACAGAGCCCATTCCGTGTTCCTGTTATTGTTTACTTCCTCTCTGCCTTCTTCTGGTGATTTATCTGACGTCCAGCGCTCCGTCTTTTAACCTCTTTTCCTTTCTCTTTCTTGATCTTCCTTAGCAACCTTCATTATAGTCCTTGACAGTGGTCTGTACTACTGTATTAACAACGTGTCACATGTTAAGAATTTACAATCAGAATCGAGTATTCAACTAAGTCGTGTAATAAAAGTTGTAAGTAGCCTTAATGGCCTACACCAGGGCTTCTCAAACTTCGGACCGAACTACAAATCAATCCGGACCGAACCCTGTGTCCCATTATAAAAGATAAAAATTATACAAAATAAAAAAATAAAAACTTCCTGATTCTGATGTAAATGAATGTATATTTTCTTGTGTCTGACGCCTTGTGAAAATGAACGTGCATATATATTTACTTGTGTGCGCGAGCGTGACACGCATTGCAGACCGCAAGTTAACCGCAAATTTACCTTGACTTTCTAATGCTTCTAATGCCTTTTTTGCCGAGGTTCAAGGCATTGACTACAGACAAACAAACAGTGCCATTTCTCCCACTAGTTCAAGCCACCATACTGTATGTATGTATTGAATTTGTGTGTGTATACAGGGGTGCCGTTTGCCGACAGGCAAGGCAGGCAAGTGCTTGGAGCAGAAGGGGGCCCCCAAAGAAGGTAGATTAAGAAGGTCCACAGCAACAACAACATGAAACACCCTTTAATTTACTGCAACGACATGTCGGGAAACCCCCTCAAGGGGGCCCCATGCATAGCGCGCCGTAAGAAACTGCTTCTTAATTTCAGTTTCGTTTCTCCGCTCCGGGGGGGGGGGAACTTTACTGGCATTGATCCGGACCAGTGACCTTGTATACAATTCACAAGTGGACCTTTAATTAAAAAGTTTGAGTACCCCTGGCCTAAACAGTTGTTATGCTATACCACATCGCCCTTCACTGGATGTATAATGAGCTGCACTAAACTACATTTTAGCATTTAACATAACTAGCCATTCTTTTGAGGTTATTTTGGTAAAGTAACTGAAAAGTAATATAAAAGTAGTGTAACTCATTTCAGAGACAGTAATATTGTAATGTAACTTATTACTTAAAAAAAGACAGTAATAAGTCATATGTACTGTATTACATTTTGGAAGTAACTTGCCCAACACTGCCCAAGAAGTATGCATAAAAGAGTATTAAAGATAAAAATGTATCAACTAAACCTACTTTAAATTAAATGAAATTGTATAAATTATAACTATATTATTGCAGCAAAGTAAGATTTATTATATCTCAAATAATTAAATAACCATGCAATGTCCAACCAAAGTAATAATGTAGGCTCTGCATGACATTTGATGGCAGACAGATAATCTGATTACACTATCTTTGGTTCTCTTAATGTTGAGTCTCTGCACACGGTAACATATTCCATGAGTAAATGTTTTCAGGCTTTATTGACCAATACATAATGTCATGCCAGTATTGTCTCTAATGTATTATCCTCGTGACCTAATGCGGTTCCTTTTCTCTGTGTTTTATCATAATTAATCAAATCCACCAACCTTCATGGCAGCTTCCTTGGGCAGGATGAAACGAATGGCCTGCAGGCATTTCCTCACTGAAATAAATCAGAGGGGAAAAGGGACAGAAAAGGAAAACATTGAGAAATAAAAGAGCAAGTTTGTTTTAAAACAAAGTCCAAAGTTATCATATTGTTATTTAAAGTGGACCTATCATGCTTTATTTGAAAAATATATTGTAGGGCCTTACCTATATAAAACATGTCTGTGAAGTTTTTTTTTCAAAATACCAAACAGATCCCCCATTGTAGCCATGCCTCATACTGCTCAAACCCCTCTTTTGAAGCCCTGTTAGAGAAACGCAGATTTTGGGTCCTTAGCTTGAAAAAAATAAATAAGAGGAGGCGGAGCTAATGCCTGATCAGAATTCTACCGGAGATAGAAGTTAAATTCGGTTGTGATATTTCGCCATTCCTGTTTAAACCACGTCAAGGATTATTTCTGAAACAGTATGGAGCTCAAATGCTTTTTCTCTTGCAGGTTTATCACAAGGTGAGTTCTTTTTTTATTTCCTGCTTTTTAAAACACATGTGCTCTCTAGGACAGGTTAGCTCTGAGTGTTAGCGAGGCTTGCTAATGTAAACAAAGACGTCCAAAACACGTCAGGCATTGTTTCTGATAGCAACTTTCTGTGGGTCCGCCGCCGATTTGACGTCAGATCGGATGGAATCTGTATCCGCTCGTTGTACACCCGTTTTTAAAAGATTTGGGTACGGAGGAAAAGAGAGAGGGTTTTATTTTCTGACGCTGCGTGAGTTCCCCGACGCACCGGGGACACATATTTATGTATAAAAGACATCAGAAAGTGCATTTTGCATGATAGGTCCCCTTTAAATAAAATGATAATGTAGTACCCTGTGGTCTGGGGGTCAGACACTTTTTTTGGGTACAAAATTATTCATATGAAAGTCTGATAATTCAAAGTGTTTTCAAGTTCAAGGTTCTTTATTGTCAATCTGACATAGCTACAGAGTAATTATGCAGTTGAAAATCTTATGTCACAGGCTTCTCCAACAATGCAACATAATAACATAACATAATAACAATAAGAGCATGAGCAATACAAAAATAATAATAGTTATAAAAATGAAATAAAGTTATGATGTGGAATAGTGCAGTATGAGTCTATATACAAGTTATTGGAATGATATATATATATATTAGGTATTAGATACATACTACTGAGTAGCAGTTGAATGTTTGATGTTGTTTCAACAGTCTGTTTTAGTCTGAACTAAAGGTGAATGGGGAGGCGTGTGGCGCAGTGGAATAGTGCGTCGGTGTGTGGAACAGGTTCAAACCCCACTGCAGTCAGCATGTCATTGTGTCCCTGAGACACTTCACCCCAAATTACTATTGTGGGGATTGTCCACAGTATTGAGTATGTAAGTCGCTTTGGATAAAAGCGTCTAACAAGTGACATGTAATGTAATTCAGATCCTAAGAGTTTCCTATGCTCGTGTTTCTATATCTTCACATAATGTCTGTTATCTGTAATGATACTTCATGAATAAAAACACAACTTTCATGGCTATTTCTTCAGTCCAGTCTTAAAGTGGAAATCTAAGATACTGGTTTGAGAAAGTGTTAAAGTACTTTTCAACAAATCTGACTTTTCGAAACCAAGTTTTCTTTTATTTAACTTTTTTTCTTCTGATGATCCAATTGGCCTTTACTTCCTAACATCAGAAAACAAAAAAGGAAATTAAAAAAGAACCACCAATACAACAGTAATTAGTGTTACAGTGTCTCCTTACAACTCTGACCAATCAGATTCCTAATCAGCGTCACCAGGCTTTATTAATTGGACTTCCAGAGTGGGAAAGGTCAGGGAAGAGGTGGATAAATGCCATTTCATTAGCGGGAGAAAGCCTTGCCTGCAGGATCGATTACTAAATGATGGAGAAAAAACTCAAAAACAGAGAGGTAGAAGCAGGAGGCAGATAGGATTATACGTACACACCTTAGTGATGATGAAGGCTTTAAATAAAAAGACAAGCTTTAATAAACGCTGGAGGAGATAGAGAAGCTTGAAGGTCATGGTTGGAGCAGACATTAAGATCTGCCCGAGGAGCCATTAGCCAACTAAATCAAATAAAAGATACAGTGATAGACCTTTGCATGAATTGAAAAAATTCATTATTCCAGAGTACTTAGATAGATTTTGTAAAGAAAATATAAAAGCAGATTGAAAAAGAGATGCAGAGGCAAGCCTTTCAGTAAGAATTTAAATGAATTGACATTTCTACCAGAGCAATTAACTGGTCAAAATGTTACATACAAAAAAAACTAAATCGTACACATTTGACTGGAAAATACTAAAGTTGTGTTTTAAATTAAATATGGAACACAAAATAAATAGAAAGCTGTACTTTACTGAAATTAAATGATCCAACCGGACCTTGGTTAATGAAGAGATTTAGATTGTGTTTGATGGGGATCGACAAATACCTTTTGAAGTACTTCAGATGGTATTTTCAGAAGGCGTCGACAAAATCACGCTTTAAAACAGTTTAATATTGTTTACTATAACTTAAAAAATGTATACTTTAATATACATGTTGTCTAAAGTCAGATTGAACTAAAGAGAAAGGTGTATATTTTATTGACCCGAGGATCGATACACTAATTAACTGAGGTTCCCACACGAGGAATGTCCCATGTGAAAATGTATTTTAGGTTATCTACGCACATTAGACTTCTACGCTAATTCCCCCAGTGGATAACTATTCTTCAAGGGTTCATTTTAACTTTGTTTAGTAAGGCAAAGCTCCAAAGGCAATTAAAACACATCCAAGTTCATGTAGTGAAGTGAATATTTCTATATATATATAGTACACTAAATACTAACATGTGTGCCAAAGATAACGAGGAAGAAAAATAAATAAAAAGAAAGAAACAAGAAAAACGTTTTTCATGGATTTAATTACTTAATCGTTATTTAATATTCAGTGTGTGTGTGTGTGTGTGTGTGTGTGTGTGTGTGTGTGTGTCTCGTAATGGCATCCTCAACACATAAGTATTATACGTCACCGTGCAATAACGTACGGCAGCTCTCAAACCTAATTTCCAGGACCTAACTGCTCTGACTCAGCTCTGTGTGTGTGTGTGTGTGTGTGTGTGTGTGTGTGTGTGTGTGTGTGTGTGTCAGCATTACTGACCAACAACAATACACATTCTTAAATTAATTTTAATTTAATTTAAATTAATAATATGTACAAACAGAATGTTTTTTTTTTTCAGTCTTACAGGATTGTGTACAACAGAATGCAGAATGTGTGCGCTGGTGTGTGTGTGTGTGTGTGTGTGTGTGTGTGTGTGTGTGTGTATGTGTGCGTGTGCGTGTGCGTGTGCGTGTGCGTGTCTCACCGAGCTCTGAGGTAGCGATCTCTGGGATGGAGATCCTCAGCATTGTGCCACTGCTTAGTTCCTAGAGAAAGAGACATTTAAAAAACGTTCAGTTAAATTTAATATGTACATTTCGCATACTACTTTACATTCTACACGTTTACAAATGTACACTTGTCATAGCAGGAAAAGCACAGCGTTCACAATGACTCTGTTACTACCAAATAAGTCATTACAGTGAGACAGCATGCACAAGACCTCAGACCATCATTAAAAATGGACTAAATGGACTAAAAGGACTAAAATGGACTAAAAGGACTAAAATGGACTGTAATGCTTTATCCAGTCTTTACGACTCCTCAAAGCGCTGTACATATACAAGTCATCATTCACCCATTCGTCCACATTTCCTAATACCTAAACATATTCCTGTTGTGCTTCTTTAAATAAATCACCATAATTGTCCATGATCTAGAAAAACAAACTGAATAATATTTTTTTTGCAGTAAATTTGTAAAAATTCCAAATGTTGACATTATCAAAGTAGAAGTTTTAAATTATTTTTGAATAGGTGTACTATTGAGGAAACACACATCTTGTTACTTTAACGTCACATTTTCTCCAGCAGGGTTGTCCTGTCCTTTTCATCTCAGTTTAGAAAGAAACCCAGATGAGAGAATTAACCATCGACCTGACAGCATACTGAGAGCAGCGGGTGCTTAGAAAACTCCAGCGAGCTGCATTAACAAACATTAGCCTTCAGATTGACACATCAAGAGGTCAAAGGAGGAAATCAATGAACCGAAACAATATGTCAAAAACGCAGCAGCATGCAAAGGCTGTTCTGCACAGGGTGGTTTGTTTTGAAGTGAGTGTGAGAGAGACAGCGTTGTTGTTGTTGTTGTTGTATTCTGTAAAGTCTGTGGGCTAAACAGGCTGTCTATACCAAGTCTGACAGGACTGAGCCAGGAGGCAGGAACACACACACATCAACAACTCTCATTCACAAATACCAATTGACCTGAACCTCACACGAAAGACTGAAAGGAAATAAAGCCTTGAGGAAAACTGTCCCATGGTTGTTTTCTTTGAGTGAGCTTGAAAGCAACTATTTGTATACAACCAACTTGTATATACAACTTACAGTGACAGAAGTTACCATTTTGAATGAACCATAGCTATAGAGTATGTCTATTTTTATATTTTCTGCAGTATGTACCAAAACACCAGCTTCTCAGAGTCAAACTACATTAGTCAAAGTCAAAGTCAACTTTAATCAAAAAATGTCTGTGTGTTTGTACAGACAGAAAGACCGAAATAACGTTTCCAACAATCCTGAATACAAAATACAATAATACAAATATACAAATATGTATAAATATGTTTATAAAACGGACAAGTCAAATCAAGCAATCTGATTGGTTCTTAGTCCGTTACGAAACTAACTAACTAACAAAGCTTAAGATGGAAACATTTAAGGTTAACTTCGCTTCGCGTCGGGCCGAACCACGCCCCTTAACTGTGATATAATGACCATATACCACGGCCTGTCGTAAGCTATTGCTTAAATAACCTCTATATATACACATTTACACATATTCACACATTAAGATAAAACACAAAATACATTAAAGTTATTAATTCATTCAACCTTGTAAGTTGGAAACTCCCAGCCTTCAGGAACAGTGAGGGTTTAAATGCAGCCATTTAAACCCTTTAAAAATGGTTCATTAAAAGCAAGCCCTATATTGTGTCATAAAGAAATTGTAAGACACAAACAAAAATAATCACAGCCCAGCAGGAGTCCATTTGTCTACATGTATGTGTACTTAAGGTAGGGTTCATGATGTTTAAAATATTTTCTTTAGTTTGAGTTGTTGTAGATTACCACTCTATTAAAAGGTAGCGTTCATGGTGTTTAAAGTCATTTTTTTAGTCCCTCTGTTAACCCTTGTGTTTTGTTCAAAAGCTGTTGCCGTTTATGGTCTTCGCGGGACAATTTTGACCCATGATTTATCTCAGTCCAAAACACACAAAATAATGACTATCATCCAATATTGTTTTAACTACATCATAACTAACTTATTATGCATTCATAACCGTACAAACAAGACCTTCAGACTTGGCTAAAATAGTCAAAATCAGTTTTGTAGTGTTTATAATATAGCTGTTGTGGAGGATATCATGAAGCCTTGTTCCATAAAAAAAACTAGAGCATAGTTATTATATAATTTTAACTTGAAACGGGTCACGGGAGACCCGAACACAACATAAGGGCAGAGATGGGGTCGTTACTAAAAAAAAAGAATTACTTAAAAAGTAATATATTACATATTATTACAGTTTGCACCTCACCGTCACATTCCTGTCCTTTCTTCGGACGAACTCAAAATAATGGGCATACCTCCACCCCTCAAAAGTTATCGCTGTTGACTCAGTCATGTTTATGCACTGTATGTGGACGCGCAAGTAGCGCAAATGTTACGTAAATATAAACCTGCGGCGGAAATCCCTCTTGTCTGTCAAAGGGAGAATCTAGTCATTCTTTATGCTAGTAGGCTAACTGTAGTGTGATTACTGATTTTATAAAAGTAACGAATTAACGAAGTAACGCGTGTCGGGCAATGTTAGTAACTGTAGTGTGATTACTGAATTATAAAAGTAACGCGTTACATTACTCCGTTACAGACAAAAGTAATATTATTACACCCAACTCTGCATAAGGGTTAAGGGAAAATGTGATCTTGAACACTATAATGGTGTCCAAATGAATTATATACACAAACTCACCAAAGTGACCCGGTTGCAGACGGGGTCCCGCAGCGCATGGATGTAGGGCGTGGTATGTTGGAAATTGTAATCATCCAAAAATGAACCTTCGTGGTGTTTAATGTTTGGACCCCTCAGCTCAGACACTGGTGACGGCATGATGCCCTGAAAACAAATGAACAGGTGAAGAAGAAGTAGAGAGAAAAAGGGAAACAGAAGGAAATAACAGAAGGAATAGATCATAAACAAAAAGGACATTGGTGTAGCAATACAGTTTGTACGGTATAATTTGTTTTGATATTATCTTTGAATATTTCAAGCAGAAAAATTGAATAATTATATAACAGGAAACCAAATCAGGCCACCATGATGACTGTGACAGATTGCCTTGCTCTGTGGAAATTGTTTATGAGAAGGTACAAGATTGAATTGCAATTAAGTATGTTACCTATAAAACTGAAATATTACAAAAAGAATCAAATCATTTAAGCTATCAAGACTTAAAGATCACTTGAAATGAGTAATTGCTGTTCTATTGAAAAGATAACGTATATTTTGAAAAGGAAAAATGAAACTTTGATAGGGTTTGGGGCCCGTTTACTCAACTGTTAGGGAATGTTAATGTGTCAAACACGCTAAGGAATAACAATGGGAATCCATGAGAGCCATCTGGTTGATAGGACAAGTAAAGTACAATTGTATTTGTTTTGAAATGATGTCCTGTCTTGTCTTTGCCTCTGTTTTTCAAATGTTTTATGTAAGTTTGTGTAAGGTACGGCGTGTGTCTTGTAACTATGTTGTTTAAAAAAATTAAAAATGAATAAACAGATAGTTTAAAGATCATTTTGTTTACAAGACATAGTACCTCATCCAGTCTTTGGAGGTGCCTGCTACCAGCGTTAGTCGGCGTGCTAACGTTCTCCATCGCTGAGCTGAAGTGAGACACGTGGTTGGTCAGGCTGAAGGTGGGCGACAGGAGGCCGGGGACGAACACCTTACTGACCTAAAGGACAGCAACACAGGAAGGTCATATATTTAATACACATTCATTCACTTCAATAAGCAGAAATGTCCTTTAATTTTGTATCTAAAGTATGTTAAACCTAGGGCTGCTCAATTAATCGTATTTTAATCGCAATTACGATTATGGCTTGCAACGATTACGAAAACAACGTAATCGAAATAAAACGATTATTTTTTTATTATTATTATTATTAATTTCTTTTTTTTATTAAAAAAATGTTTTATTGGTTTTTCAGTTGAATTATACTTGGTAATCACATGTTAAAAACATACTGTTAAAAAAGAATTGTCCAATAAATTGATGTTTTCAAAGTAAATGGATAATCATTTTTAATAATCGTGATATCAATTATTGACCCAAATAATCGAGATTATGATTTTTGCCATAATCGAGCAGCCCTAGTTAAACCTGCTGTGTATTTAACTGTTATTAATAATAATAATACACTTTATTTGTATAGGCAAGGCAAGGCAAGTTTATTTATATAGCACATTTCAACACAAGGCAATTCAAAGTGCTTTACAAAAATGAAAGACATTAAGAAAATGGCATTTAAAAACAGTCATTAAAAAGCAAAGATAATCAAATAAACATTAAAAGAAAAAATACATGGATCAAAGTATAGCACCTTTCATGCACAAAGCAGCCCAAAGTGCTTTACAGAAAACATAACAACAATATTAAAATAAATACAGAACAAGATAAAACATCCACAGCGATCCTAATAAAATTCCCTTGAATTAAAGCTGACAAGAAATAAAAATAAGTTAAAATAAAATAAAAAATGTAAAATAAAAGAAAAACAGAAAAGAAAAACAGTAAAACATGGACATTGAAACTAGTGAGAATTGAAAGTTAACCCAAATTAAAAGCCATATTAAAAAGATAGTTTTTTTTTCCTTTTAAACATGATGTCGTGTCTGTGTTTTGATATTTCTCACCCTGGTGATTCCTGTGTAGAGAACCAGACTGCCACAGGCCTCCAGCACCAGCATGGCATCGATATTCTGAGGAGAAAAGATTTTTTGTGTCAAAAATGTTCATTTAAGTCACTTAGGCTACTCAAAGACAAAGTTAAGATATTTAAATGCTTGTTTTGTCTGTCCAGATGTTCAATACCTAAAGATATTTAAAGTGCACCTATCATGCTATTTTTAGGCAATAGCATACGGTAGGTCTCAGATATATAAAAATATATAAAAAACATGATGAAGTGTTTTGCTCAAAATACCAAACAGATCACCCATTCTAGCCATGCCTCATATCCCTCTATTTCACTTTCTGTTTCAAAAGTGCTGATTTGGGGTATAAAGCTTTAAAAATAAAAAAGGAGGGGGCTGAGCTCATGCGGGACCCGGCAGCTACTGTCTAAACTAAATACTGCCGTGATGAAACGCCATATCATGGATTATCAAGGATTATTTCTGAAACAGTATGGAGCTCAAAGGCTTTCTCTCTTGCCGGTTATACCACAAGGTGAGTTCCTTTTTATTTGCTGCTTCTTCACACACATGCTCTCCAGTACAGGTTAGCTCTGAGTGTTAGCGATGCTAATGTATTACGTCCATTACGTCATATCGGACGCAAATCCGTATTGTCATACTTATATTCTGTACAAACTGTGAAGTCCACTGAGAGAAATGTAACATTTGTGATATTGGGCTATATAAATAAACATTGATTGATTGATTGATTGATTGATTGATTGATTGATTGAAATCTGGATCAGCTCCGTTGTAGCCCCGTTTTTAGAGATTTGGGTACGGAGGAAAAGAGAGGGTTTTATTTTCTGACGCTGCGTGAGTTCCCCGACACAGGGGACACATATTTATGTATAAAAGACATCAAAAAGTGCATTTTGCACGATAGGTCCCCTTTAAGTTGACTTTCCTTAAAGAGTAATCAGTAAATAATCACACAGAGAAGCTAGAATCAATCAACCTTTTACATTCACTTTTAAAGAAACACTTATATCATATTACTTAATCAGTAATATGATCAACCAATAATAGAAAATGTAAGTAAGTCAACACATACCACCATATTCATAACAAATGTTTAGCTTTTTCTCAACTGAGAGTGCACTCACTCACTCACTGTTGTGTTTTTAATGCTGCCCTTCACATTGTTACAGTAGCTTATAAAATACTTGATTAGTTATTCAGGAGATTAGAGAGTTAATCTTCTCAGAATTATCGTTTGCCTGTTGCACGTCTTAATTTAGACACATAATGAGACCTAGTATTCATGTTTTGTATTCTTTCCAGTTTATGATCAATACTGTATTTGCAGCACAATACTACCTCAGAAGTAATTATCTAATTAACTTTAAATAAAACTAATGTGCTACAAATAATTTCCAGATAAACTAAAACTGCTCAAATTAATGAAAATGTTAAAAATGTAAGTCCAAAACTAGAAACTAGCTCAAAGCTAAATCTGGCACTGTTACGCTTGACACATTTTAATGTTTTAAGTGTTCATTACTGTGCATTGTCCCTGCCAAATAAACGATTAAAAAAAATTATTTTCAATCACAAAATGTAAAACTAAGATGTCTCTGTTTTTACGCAGCTCACAACTTTATTGATAAATGTATCAAGTGTCGTCATTAACACCGGTTGTATTGATTTCTGGTTTAATTATGCTATTCATTGAAAGCCTTTGAGCTCCATACTGTTTCAGAAATAATCCTTGATAATCCATGATATGGCGTTTCATCACCGCAGTATTTAGTTTAGACAGTAGCTGCCGGGTCCCGCATGAGCTCAGCCCCCTCCTTTTAAAAAAAAAAAAAAAGCTTTATACCCCAAATCAGCACTTTTGAAACAGGAAGTGAAATAGAGGGATATGAGGCATGGCTAGAATGGGTGATCTGTTTGGTATTTTGAGCAAAACACTTCATAGACATGTTTTTTATATATTTGTATATATCTGAGACCTATGCCTAAAAATAGCATGATAGGTGACCTTTAAAGTGTTGCAATGGACTACATTACGAGCTATGTTTTATGTCTCTCCAATCCAATTGAATGCTTACACTAATTTAATTTATACCGCGATGATGAAGACAGCCTAATACTGAATATTACAGCGGAATAGTTGAACTGGACTGCATTTGATTATACATGAGTACCTAATAGAGTGTACACAATGGGTACAATCACATACTTTCCATCTATATCTGTCTTTACTGGGTTTTGTATTATTTATTTGGGAAAAAAATACTTACTTACTGAATTGACCGGTTTTTGTATGGGTATTGCTTTGAGAAAGTATTGCCACTTACATTTTCCTACTCTCTGTAAATATTGTGACGCTCAGATATTGTACTGTACCTGCAGAGGCTCTGCGTCTTTGGCAGGGATCGTCGTGACAGATGTGAAGATCAGCTGAGACGAATTGTTGCTTTCAAAAAACTTCACACATCTGTGGAAAGAATGAAGAAGAGAATAATGTGGAGAGATGGCATTCAGGATATCCAATAGATTTATATTTATTTGCCTGACGTTCTACATAAGAGATCGATATTTATTACTTTTACTGTCATAGTTCCCTTCAGGGCCTAAGATTGAGATCCTTTGAGACTTTTCTTTGTGTGTGTGAGTGAGTGTGAGTGTGAGTGTAACGGCCCGTCCACACAGCGGCGTGCGTTGAAGCTTGCTCAATTTTTTGGAATATGAGGAAATGACCTGCGGTGTGTCTCTCCCAGCATACACGCGGTTCGATTGGCTAGCGCTTGTACTGGCAGATTTGCATAAACGGGATTTGATTGGCTGTCGCTTCCACCGAAGCTTCAAAAGTTGAACATTTCTCAACTTTTGCAGCGAGCCACGCCAGCAAAGCTCCGCTTCGCTTCCCACAATGCAGTTCGGCGAAAAGTGACATCACCCCATTCAAGTGAATGGTGAAGCTTTCAACACACGCCGCTGTGTGGACGGGCCGTGAGTGTGAGTGTGAGTGTGAGTGTGAGTGTGAGTGTGAGTGTGAGTGTGAGTGTGAGTGTGTGTGTGTGTGTGTGTGTGTGTGTGTGTGTGTGTGTGTGTTTAGTACCTGAGCTGCTGGTGAGACTCCACCAGGAAACAGAGGTAGTGGTTCTCACAGAGGTCAGAGGTCAGAAATACTTTAGATGCCTGGCTGCTCATCTCCCTGCAAACACAAACATTAGAAGATATGTGTGAAACAAGATCAGCTACAAAAACAAGAGTTAAACAAACAATATCAAATAAATATATCCCCGCTGTGAGGAGCTCCCAGCTGATAAGTGATTAAGAATTTCTATCTGAACAACTTCGATGGTAAAAATGCTAAAGGACTCTTCAAGATATGATGCTCTTTTTTTCACTGTCATTTATAGGTCAACAAAAATCTTATTTAGAGCGGGAAAAAGGGTTAATTGTGTTTAAATAATTCACTTAAAGGTAGGGTAGGTAAGTTTGAGAAACCGGCTCGAGATACACTTTTTGTTATATTCCATGGAATGCTCTTAACATCCCGATAGCAATGAATATCTTAAGTGCTTTGACAAAAAATCCATAAAAAAAATGTCATCTGTGGAAGCCGTAGTACTGTAAAAAGTACAACCAATCATTTTAGCCGGCCCGGCTAAAATAACTGGATGGCCTACCTGCCTGTCAGCCTTCCATCGGGGCACAAACTTATCTCGTGCCCTCATTGGTCATGTGCGCGTTCGTGTGTGTTGGAGGAGGGGCTCTGTAAGGAAGTGGCAGATTTTCTCCGGTTGTGTATTTTCAAATTCTAGCGATCTCAAGCCGGTTTCTCAAACTTACCTACCCTACCTTTAACCTGGGTGCTACCAAATCAAGAATATAAGGAGTACCCAATTAAAGCTGAACTGAAATTACTGTAAGAAGAAATCCATTATAATCCTTTCTTCAAGAAAATGATGTATCTGACGAAGAACAACAAGGGAACACATCTCTGTTTTTCTGATGAGGATGCCATATATGATAGATGGTAAAAAAAATCTGGTGTTAACTTGTAAGTCCTAAAAGCTATGTATAATAAACATATATACCTCAAATTTGTGTTGCTAAAATAACTAAGAAAAGCTGAAAAAGCTAAGTAGCCTGGTCCTTAACTTGCATGAATAAAAGCCATCACTTAGAAGAACATTTTGAGATTACATTATCATAAAACTCTTCATAATTGTCATTCAATTGAACATGTGTCTGCACAGACATGTCATCAGTTTCTATGAGGGTTCGGTCCTGGTCATCACCTGTAACACCCAGCTGTGACGGTCTCGCTCCACAGCTGCTCGATGCACAGGTCGGGCACGATGGGCTCCATCTCCGGCACCAGCAGCGTCTCGTTGACCGTGCTGTTGGCAGAGGTCAGCAGGCCGTGGTGCCCCCTGGGGGACGGGCTGTGGAAGGACGTGTTGAAACGAGCCGCACCAGAAAAGGATGGAGTCGCCATGCCTGGAGGATGGGCCCGGCTGCCATGAAAGGATGGAGGAGGAGAAAAAGGACATTATCTTGACAACTAGTGGTGTTGAGGAGCATATGTTTTCCTGTATCCTGTTATATACAATCAGGACATGCACAAGATTCTGCCTATTGCAGAAGGCGTTGAAGGAAATTTGTATAGTCGGCAATAGAGTCGATTATTAAAGAAAAAAATGCATCCTTTTAAGATTTGTCTGATGCATATAATGGCATTTCAAAACAATATTCCTATGTCCATACTGACTTACACATTTTGATCTCCTAACAGTTGTGCTAATAAGGCTTGTTTAGCTTTTACATTCAATGTTCTTAAGGCAATTTTTGAATCAGGCCCTTAAGTCTTGTTACGAGCTTCCCCAAAGTCCAACTCACCTGAGGGCAGCCATGTTGGATATACTCGGGGAGTGAACCCGGGAGTGTATCCCTGGTGAAGTCGTCATGATTCTGCTCTGGTGGCTGTGCAGAGCGCTGTAGTGGAGAGGAGAGCTGGTACCAATGGCACAACTAAGAGCAGGAAAATGAAGGATGGAATCAGAGATGGTCTTGGTTGTTGTGCTTATTCTTCATGTTTGTACGTCCCTGTGTGCATTTGAATTAAACCGTTGATTGACGTTGACTGCTAACTTTGCCATGTTTTGTTTTTAAAAACAGATCTTGTCTCTGTGAAACATTCCTAACATGAAAGTTAAATATAAATTGTAGACATAACAAGGCCAGACGTCTCACATATTAAAGCGTATACCTTGTTGCTGTTCCTGGGCCGAGCCCGGTCGCCCCACTGCCTACGGGGGAGTCCAAGCGTGAGATACGGAGGTGAGAGGTCAGTAAGCCCGATGCCATCAGACCCAAAGGAGTGCCAACTGGATCTGCTGTACACCGCAGGACTGAAAATCGCTCCTGATGGAGGTGAGAGGCTCAAGGTTAGACACAGGTAGACTCACTGTGTGATTTTGCAGGTGTGTCTGTGTGATCACTCACATCCTGTGTGACTTTGCGCAGGGCCCAGACAGAGTGTATTCCCTGTACAGTGTCATAGGAGACAACTATAGAGGGCTGGCAGCAGCTGAACACTATCTTCATGGTGGCATCCGATGCATACTGCACACGGGAGCTTTCAAACAGACCTGAAAACCAAAACGTATTTCCACTTGATGAGACACAGACATGGAAGAGCTTCATGCATGAAAGGGAAACTCCGGACAATGTGCAGACCTGATAGTGATTATATGCGAAACAGATTAAGAGAAAGAGAAAGAGAGAGCGAGAGCGGGAGAGGAATGTGTGTTTTTGTCATACCTGTAGGTTTACACACTATTGGTGCAATCTCGTCGAGAGGATGCAGCATGCTGAAGACTGTGGGGAGAGATTCCCTGTAGAGAGAGAAAAAGGGCTCAGTTATTCTGTTACCCTTCAAACCAAGGAGAATGTCTTTAATGTAAACAAATCTGTTCAGGTTTTTGAGATTTGTCAGTGTGACACTTGGATGTGTGTCTGTGTGTGTCAGAGTGTATGGTGTGTACCCGGGGAGTTGTGAGTCTGTCGCTGAGTTTTTTCGTTCTAACAAAAGTCCAAACTTTGTCGCCCAGACATTTGACACCTGGAGGAGAAAGGAGGGGATAGTCAGGGAAGAAATGTGTGCAAACAATTGTAATGTTTGTAAGTAAAAAAGACAACATTAAGCTTTATTTTTACGTACAGAAAAAAATAATACAAAAAGAAAAAACGAAGGAAACATGATTTCCTCCGAGCAGGCCACAAACACTATTTCTGCAACTAACTGGTAAAAATACATCCATGAATCAAATGATATCTTGTTGCTGTGCAACAGACTATTGAGACCGGAACAAACTCATACTCACAGAGACATAACCATTAAACACACATGCGCACACTCACACGTTGAATTATCAGAACATATTTGCAAGTGGACACACACACACACACACACCTCACCTGGAAAGGTAGTGGTGAGATGAAATCCTTCCCAGTTATGGTGTGCACGTTGACACAGCTACTCTGGACGATACAGACTGTCTGCTCCACTTCCTCTTCTGCAAAACAACATCAGGATTGTGAATCTTATTTATTAAAGTCAAATGAACTGCGATTGAATTGAACAGATACATTAAAACAACTATTCTCTTTTGAACAACAAAAGGTTTTGAATGATTAATTACCATCTTTCTTGTTGTGAGGAACAGCAAATGTACACCATAAGGCCTGTAGAGAGAATAAAAATGAGTTTCAATATTTTGCTAACATATATATATATGCATGTATACAAAAAGCCACAATTCTTTCAATCTCATTCACACACTTTTACTTCTCATTGTATTTTGATCAAAATCTTATCTTATCTTAACATCTTATTTGCCATCAACATTTTCCAGTGAGTCACAAAAACTGTTAATGGAATTGGACAAAAGGACAACTTTCCCGACAGAAATAAACAGTCTCTAGGATCTATTTATAAGTAAGATGAAAGGTATCGCTATGAATACTATCTAAAACCAGCTTTCAGTAACCAACCTGCTGCACCGGGCTGTCGACAGTGAAGGCCTTATAGACGTTGGAGGCTTGTGTCCGGCTGCCCTGGCTCCAGACGACCACAGTTCCTGCTGTGTAGAGCTCCTCTTCAAACTCCACATCTTCCTCCCCGATTCCCTTGCAGCCCTTCCTAAGCTGCCAGCATTCCTGCCAATAAAATATATTTATTACATCTACATGACAAGGATGGAATCAAAAACAAATAAAGTTATATATAATATTGTCAGGAGAATACTGAATGTACTCTTCCAATATCAGAGTAGCACATGATAACAAAGGCCCTACGTAGCTGTGTACGTAACAGGATGTATGATTACCTAGAAGAGCATCAGGACTGTTTTAGGCATATGATAGCTATGTTATTAACATGATGATTCAGCCTCTATGGAGAGAGACATATGACAAGCTAATCATTTCTGACGTGGGTCTTAGCTAATCTAAACTAAACATTATACTTTGAACCGGTATTCCTGCATCTTGTGACTGTGTAACTCCCTCTCTTGTATATCAGCATCTGAAGGACACTGGAACTAGTTGTACCAAATGCTCTGTATGTGATGACTACTTCCATTCTTGAGAGGATTAATAAATACATGTATCCTGTTATTGAAGCTCAATCCGGTGACGAGTGATATTTTTCTAACAAATATATACATTTATATGTAAAGAACAATTCCATGCAATCTCACCCTCTCTCTCTCCTGCAGACTGACTTCCTGCAGCGACCCGACCAGGCCGGCGGCGCCATCTGACGACCAGAGCTCGGAGGCAGGCTGGAGCTCTCTGAGCTGCAGGTTGAAGGCGTTTGGATGGTTCCTGCAGTGCTCGCGGCCGAACGGGACAAACGACTGCAATTCCCCTGCTGCGATCATCGTGGCTGTCTCTTCATACACGACTTCCGACATGAGTTCCAGATATCAGCATTATTTCTGGAAAGAATGGATGGAAAGGTAAAAGGAAAATGTTTTACAAATAAGCACCAAGAGAGTTGAGAGCAAATATGGAGTCCTTCTTTTTCAAAGTCATACCTATAGCCAGTGTTATAAAAAGTATTAAAAGTGGCAAAACTGTACTGACTTATTATAATGCTATTCTTCAAAAGGTTTAATAGACAGAGTAAATGATATGAGTGAGTGACAGCTTGATTTTCATTTAGGTAGAAAATCAGATAATTTGAAAGTAAAATAAAACAAAACATGTCCGAACAAAAATAGCTATGAATTCAGAAAATAAAAAGGCAAAAGGCAAACTTAGACAGCAGTTATCTGTTATGGTACCAATGTTTCTGATTGTACTTGAGGTGGTTATGGTGTTTCCAGTCAGTATAAACAAATGCATTTTACTTTATTTAAGAATGAATAACTAAGAATTAATATATTCATCATGTTAACTTTATCATGATGGGCAGATTCAACTATTGGCTTTTTGTGTTGTTTAATTACGTTAGCTGTGGCTTTATTTATTTATTTATTTATTTTCTTCATTGCCATATCAGTATATAAACTAAGATGAAACAGTAAGCTTTATGTAAAGTGAGTCAATACATTTAATTATATTTTAAGTAGACACGGTACAAAAAGACTTACAAATGCTTAATAACAACTTTCAATATGATTTCTCCTGTTCTATTGATTTTGAAAGGCGCTACATTGTAGTAGCTTGCTGTAGGTTCTTAAACCAATATAAACAACAAAATAAAAAACAGTACTTGACAGCCCACTTGCAGTACGTTATGTCAAAAAACGTGTTGACAGCTTTGAGTAAGAAGCTAGCTCCAAAGTACTCTCCGGCATTAGCATGCTAATGCTAAACCCCCATAGAGTGCCATTGTTTTTCTCTATTAGCACGCTAGCTAACGTTAGCTTCAGCTAGCATAGAGTTTTAGCTGCTTTACCTGATAGTACGGAATAGTCTGGCTCTTGTCGTGGAGTCCTTTATGTTTCCTGTGTGTGAGTCTTGCGTCAGCACAACGTCGTGAACGGTGTCAACATAAAAAAAACATGAATCAGGTGCCAAACTCTGGATTTGGCTACCGCAGGTTTTCAAATGAGCGCGGACATCTTTGCTGTCCCAACATCCCCTTCCTCCACGAGTCAGCCAATCAGCAGTGAGGAGGAGGGCAGGGGCGCAGCTGATTGGCTGATTTCCTCAGGGCAGTCTCATCTCATCTACCTTATCCTCTCCTTCCAGGGCTGAGGGATGAGGACCTTTATAAATCCATTAATTGGATAATAAGAGGTAGCTACATTAAGGAACATTTTTATCATTTCACAAATCTTCATATGCAATATCATATTCTTTGCAATATATTGTATATCATATGGTTGGGATTTTGTGACTGTTAAATTAACCTATACATTGTTATTTGTTGTTGCATTGCCCATTTGCTGCTGCAACAAAGCATCATTCCCAGTTGTGGGACTGATAAATGAATATATTTTATTACTTAGGACACGTTCTTAAAAAAAGAAATCTTCCTTTCTGCAGAAGAATTAAGTAGAACACCTCGTAGTCCAATTTCTATTAGATGAGATAAGATAAGGTAATAAGATGACTTTTCGTGTTAATCTATTAGTAATTATCAGAATAAATCACATATTTTAAATTACATTTGAATATATTACACTGAGTAAATGATGTCAAATGATGTGACCCCAGACTCTTATAAGACAATACACATTTCAAACAGTGGATTTACTGGATTTTCAGACTTGATAACATGCTTAAATGTGAAGGATGAATGTTTCATAGAGGATCACTGCCATCTCAATTAAGAATAAATAGGTTGATATGTATATGAGGAAGTGGTGAGTAATTACCAGCAACAGTTTAAAGTCACACTAAGATTATGGATTTTATTTGCATTTTACCTATTTATTAATTTGTTTGCATTTTATTTGTATAATTAGTAGTTATAATTAGTTAGTTGCATGAAAAAAATACACAACGCTTTTTAGGTATTATTGTGAGCACAGTTGTTAATTAGAAGAAATAGCTATATCATATTTCTTTGATTAAATATTTAACCTATGCAACAATGTTCTTTAAAATGTAATCAGGTTATTTCTACTCTACAAAAGGAATATCTGGCGTGAAATAAAGTTGTTGGTGTTGACGAATGACTGACAGACGGCATACTTAACTGTATCAGTAACTCCTTCTGCATCTAACAAATCAAATTCAGCAAAAGGTGGTCATGAAGAATTACACCTGAGTGGAAAATGAGGAGTCTGGGCTGATGGGTGTGATGGATGTCGCACAACAACTCAGTCTGATCTGACCGAGTTAACGCTCCCAGACAATATCAGTGTTACTCCCTGGGTGTTGTGCGTGTGTCAAAGTGAAATAAATAGAGGGGGGTGAGAATGCTTTATTTATTCAATCTTAAAGGGGATGTTAAAAAGAAAAGACAGAAAACACCAAAAGGGAAAGTGTGTCTACAGGTCTGAAGCAAATTCATAACACACATTTTTGTAATGTATTATTTAATCCCAATAATGCATTCATTTCTCCCCCTCTGACTCATACTTGTCCTCCTCCCTATTTTGCATGTCTGTATTTCAAAAATGCATTCGTTGATTGAAATTGACAGTTTGTTGTCGAAAAGCATCAATAAAAAACACAGTTTCATTCTGATTGATTATAAAAAGATGATAGACTGTTTTCCTGTGGTTTGGATCCTTGTTATTGTCCTGACAATTTAACGTTTTTGATGATATCTTAGGAAAACAATCCTGTTTCTTCAAAATGTCTTAATTAATTTCTTGTGAGTGCAAGCAAGACAAATGATGTAGGTTTATTCCCTCTAAAGTATAACCCAGTGGCCTAATGGACAAGGCATCAGCCTCCGAAGCTGGGGATTGTGGGTTCGAGTCCCACCTGGGTTGACTCAACTCTTATCATCATATATTAAAAACAGTTAGAACAGGAGTGTCGTTAATATTAAGTTGCACAAGATAAAAACACAGACTGCAAATATTGTATACCTACAGGTACCATCAGACATGAAAGTCAGAGTACATGTTCCAACAATTATCGGACAACTTGTTGTTATATTAAGTCAAATTGGCATTTTCAAACTGCCTTTCCAGGAAGACAAGGAAATAAACTTTCCAGTACTGTAACCAAACATATACCTCCCATGACAGACACCTCATTATATTTGTTTAGCTGCAGCAGGTTCACTGTTGAGGTGAGGTCATCCTGCCATAACAGGCGCTCAGATTTCATTACAGCCGGGCTGCTGAAGCATCCGAGAGCAAACAACTGTAATGATGACGCACTGCAGCCGACTCAGAGGGAGTGAGAGAGTCGCCCTGTGGAGGGGGGGGGGGGGGGGGGCTTTCACTTCATAGAGAGAAATGGCTTTAATTCTCCATGTGGACTGACACAGAAGTTGCTGCACATATGAATCGCTCACGGTCACTTTAATTATTTGCAGTCCATCAGCTATCCTGCTCAGGATCTACGTGAACATGCAGGTTATAATGCAACAGATACACCTGTACATTTAATGCAATAATAACATATCCTACATTTGTGAAGCTCATTATTTGCATTTTGAAACCTGCAATTATAGTGGTTGTGTTTCATTGGATTGAAAGCTGCTTATTTTATCTCATGTATACTTTGAAAAATCAAGGGGTCATTTTATAGTCATTGCATACAACAGGGTTACTGTTAATAAGTATAAATACAGTTGAACTCATTAAACAATACAAATAGTTAACAAATAACACTTGAGTGTTTTTTTCAAGAGGGCTCAACCATTTAGAAGAAAAAATACTGGATAGGAAATATTCAAAGCAAAGTTTGACAGTAAAGTTGCAAGTTGAGTACTGGGAATGACTGAAGTTATCATAAGTTTAAAAACAAATAATTTGTATTATAATACTTTCTACATATCTAGTTACAACTATAGAAGAGATATACCTTGAAGAGCAGAGTTAAACGAAAGGAGGGCCATGTCAATAAAATACAATTGTATAAAAAGCATCCAGGCATAACATAACCTTACACAAGTTTAGACTAGATTCATCATCAATGTTTTGTCACTAAACCTAATTGTATTTGATACGATTATGACAGTTAATTAGGGAAAACTTTCCACATGGATTTATTGTATCATGCGGTGTATAGTTTATGACCATGCACCCTTCAAAATCCTGTGATTTCAAAAAGAGAAAACTCTCAAGACATTTTGACATGTCACAGCAGAAAGATGAAGAGTGGATGTCACTGACGACTCTCTTACATTCAGGTGTGCTGGTGACACAGCGTGCTCAATGGCAGAGCATCAGCTAAATGGTATACGGCCATTATGATGTCATTACTCGCGTTTTATAGAGAGAGAGAGAGAGAGAGAGAGAGAGAGAGAGAGAGAGAGGAGAGAGAGAGGAGAGAGAGAGCAGAGAGAGACAGAGAGAGACAGATAGAGAGAGAGAGAGTAGGAGAGGAGAGCGTAGAGAGCTCGATCGCTCGCTCGTCTCGCTCGCTCGCTCCTCGCTCCTCGCCCTCGCTCTCTCGCTCGCTCGCTCGCTCGCTCGCTCGCTCGTCGCTCGCTCGCTCGCTCCTCGCTGCTCGCTCGCTAGCGCTTGACTTGCTTGCTTGCTTGCTTGCTCTGATTGATTGCATTGCTTGATTGATCGATTCCGCAGCCAGAGACGCCGCAGACCATCAGACAGACAGACAGACAGACAGCCAGACAGACAGACAGACAGACCGACAGACAGACAGACAGACAGACAGACAGATAGATAGATAGATAGATAGATAGATAGATAGATAGATAGATAGATAGATAGATAGATAGATAGATAGATAGATTGATTGATTGATTGATTGATTGATTGATAGACAGACAGACAGACAGACAGACAGACAGACAGACAGACAGACAGACAGACAGACAGACAGACAGACAGACAGACAGACAGACAGACAGACAGACAGACAGATAGATAGATAGATAGATAGATAGATAGATAGATAGATAGATAGATAGATAGATAGAGAAAGAAAAACACAAATTAGTCAATGACGTATAACATCGGTTTCCCGCACAGGGAGCATAACGTAATCGTATTGGTCCCCAGAGAGCCAGACCAGAGTGCATCATGGGTAAGGTTTTGCTGGTTAATGACAGCCAATGAGGGAAATGTGTATGTGTGCGTGTGTGTATGACTGTGTGTTGCACTAATTAAAGTATCTGGATGGCATTGCTGTACGTAATGTCTGCCATGGGGCTGAATCGGGGCCAAATGTATTTATGTATTTAGTTAATTTAGGATGCAATGAAGAGCTCTGGCGGTCTAAAGTATCTGTGGCAAGAGGCCGCGCACACAAAAACAAGGCATCCATTATGGGAACCTCCAGGGAGCCGGGTGTGTGTGTGTGTGTGTGTGTGTGTGTGTGTGTGTGTGTGTGTGGTGTGTGTGTGTGTGGTGTGTGTGTGTGTGTGTGTGTGTGTGTGTGTGTGGGTGTGTGTGTGGGTGTGTGTGTGTGTGTGTGTGTGGTGTGTGTGTGTGTGTGTGTGTGTGTGTGTGTGTGAGAGAGAGAGCAAGAGAGACTGAAAGAAAGAAAGAAAGAAGAAATAACTGGAAGTATAGTTTTTAAATATGACATTTCAACATTTGGTGGGAATGTATCTGCTTTCTCTGTCAGAGGCAGACGAAAACACAACACTCACGAAAGTACAAAGATCACAACGAGGTTAGCTTAGTTTAGCATAACGACCAGAATCAGGTGAAAACGATCTCCTCGCATTTCAAACAGAATTGACAATAAAAAGTTAAAAAACTGTATCCAAACAGAAAATGCCATTACAAAATAAAGAGAAAGAAGACAATGAGTCACGTTTTTGACCTTTTCCTAATGAATAGCTTTTCTGTCCATTCGCCTTTTTCTTCTGTGAATTATCTCCAGCTACAGAGCAGATTAGTGAGCACAGGTTTTAGTCGCTGTACGGGTGCAACACAGGGATGTTGAAAACATGATGATAGAACTTCCAGATCCAATTGTCAATGCCTGCCTGTTGTTTGTCGAGAAGTTCCAGCACAGAGGCTAA